AGCTGAGTCGGTTGACACCAAAATAAACATATTCTGACTTGATAGGACCGAGTTACAGGCCCGTGAAAGTAACAGGCCCGAGTTACAGGCCCGTTGAAAATCCATAAAAATTGCAAACTATTTATTTAAAATTTGTACCTATTCTGCCTCTTTTCAAAATTTTTTCGACCTATTTATGCTTTTTTCGAACCTATTTAGGTAATTATTATCAGTTTTTTGAACCTAAAAAACTCGCTCTGATAATAAATAATTTCTTGTTAAATAATTATTTTAAATTAAATTCTTTTAAAAGAATTTAAATTTAATTTAGAAAGCTAAAATTAATTCAATTTTAATACTTTTTTTATTATTGACGTAATACTTTTATCTTTAGAAAAATTCTAATAATTACAGATGTTAATTTAAAAAAAATTTTGGAATTTTATATGACGATATTTAAATATAGAAAGTTAAAAAAGCTAAATTTCTTCCTAATTTCGGGTTGGTAAAAATAATCTGGGATATTTGTCATGCTTTAATTTTTGTGAGGTGATACTTTAATAAATAAACATAAATAAATTGGATTGGGGACAAAAGCTAATTGAGCAAAAATTCTAGTCAAAGATACAGAATATCTGTGTAATTCAGTAATAAATATGTTATTTTCTTGTTTAAACTTCAGAACTTTTGGCCAATCATTTGATAAAATTGATAAAATTTTGTCTCGTTAATTTTAAAATAAAATAAAAAAGAATTATTTTTGAAGAAATTTCAGGCACTTCAGGCAGATTCTTTGTAGTAAATTTTAAAATTAAATATAAATAATTTAATTTTATTTACCTATAAATTTTCACTAGTCTGAACTAAATTTGCAACAATAATTATTAGTTTTTGAATTTAACACAAAAGAGAATGTTTATATTGTATTTACATCAAATAAAGTCAATTTATTTTTATTTTCATTCAATTTCATTCTAAAACTTTTTTTTCAATTTTTAAATCCAAATAATTTTCCTAAAAATTTACTAAAACAACAGTTATATTTACTTAAATTTATTTTTAACTTTTAAAGTTAAAAATATTTTTTTTAAAAACTTTTATTTCGGTGTGGCCTAAGCTTCATTTCACAACTATTTGTCCATTTTTTCGTGAGTGATGTTCTTGTATCATTTTACATTTTTTTGCTTTTTTTAACTTAAATAAAAGATGTCAGCATCAAACTAAAAAAATTATAACTTAGTTTTAAAAACAAAAATAAATATTTTTTAAATTCTTTTTTTGTCTTTTTTCAAGATTTAAATTTGAATTATTTAATTTTTAATTTAAATCAGGGTTGGGTAAGCGCCTTTCAAAAAAACTTCGTCGAGGTGGAGGTTTATTACTTTAAAAAATTTTATAAAAAATCGAAAAATCTTCTGTGACATTTCTAAAATCAAAACTGTGTTTCAACCCCCATTACATTCAGGAAAAAATCGTTCGGAACGGAATTGGGATTTTCTTTTTAAATCCACTTTTCTTTTATCCTTTTTAATTCTTTTATAAAAAAAATAATTTTCTGATTCAAAAAAAATATTAAATGATCGATTTACAACACTCTAATAAAAGAGGAAGAGTTCCCCATCTCTTAAAAATCTCTCAATTTTCTTTTTTTTGTCCAAAACCTCTAAAAAGGCCGAGCTTTTTATTTATCTGCTATGGAATTAAGCTAAAGAAAAGAATTAAATAAAAGTAATAAAAAAATAAGAAGAAAATAAGTTTTATGTTCGTATGGTGAGATTAATCCTCCTCCTCCTCCTCATCCTATTCTCTTCCCAATCCACAAAAATTTTCGCTCTTAAAAAGTTTTCCTTAGACAAGAAGCCTGCGGGTGGGAGAGAAAGGAGAGAAAGGGAAGATCATTGAGGGGCCCTTCTGGCGATGTTTTTCCTTTACCTTCAATTATATTGCGGTCTCCAAACGATCTGTCCATTTTTTGTTGTTTCCCACCCTCTCTGATATTTCTGCAACGGAATCCCATCAATTTTAAAGCAATTTTACTTTTGGCTGTTGTTTTGGAAGAACTTTTCTTCTTCAAAACTTTGTCCAAATATTGGGGACAGCTGTTTCTTTTTCTTTGGGAATGGATTTTATGGCTCGTTTGGGCGCAGGATTATTCTAGCTAAGGATTAAAACGGCACCCTATATTATAACAACAAACTAAAATTTAATTATTCAGTAAATGAGAGATTACGACGTCAATGATATTGTAATCTTATAACTGTCAGAAAGTCCACCTTCAATCCCCGTGGGACATAACGACGAGTTTTGGTCTAAAATCACGTTGCGGGGGCCCGATTATGTGATGAGTTGCTCTATTTATCTTTCTTTGTTTAATTTATTTTAAAAAATTTTATTTTAGAATTATTCTGGCAAATTTAAAAGTCCTCGCCTAATCATCACCACGCCCAAATATATCCTTTTCTTCACACTTTTCCGTTCCTCCAAAAACAATATCCCTCATTTTACAATTTTGTTTCCCACACAAAGTGAAGAACAAGAAATTGTTGTTTAAGTTTGTTGTCACCCATCTTTATATTTTTCTTTTAACAAAAAGCTAAAATCGAATAAAAAGTTTCTTGTTTAACAAAATTATTTTTTTTCTCTCTTTAATTCCCTAATTACAATTTTTATTAAATCAAAATTCTCTCATTTTATTTTGTCAAATAAAACTTTCCATTTCCATGATTTTTCCGCTTGATCCAATTTTCAAGAAAAATACTTTTATTTTTTATTTATTTTTCTTTCAATTTTTTTTGAATTCAATAAAAAAAATTATTTTTCTATAAAATGACCTCATTTTCTCGTATTTTTAATTTTATTTTGAGAACAAAATTTTTTTAAAAAGAAGAAAAGGTAATTTTGCAATTTTCTAAAAATAATGGTTGGATATTTTTAACAAATGATTTATTTGGAGGGTTTTATTATTTTTCATGCTTTTAACAAAAAACGCTATTTTTCTTTTAGAAAATTGCTTTTTTAAAAGGAGAATTGTTTAACGAGAGAATATTTTTTGTTATATTTTTTGATTATTCCAAAATATTTTGAGAGTCTTGAACGAAATAATAATAGTAGATATTATACATTAAATAAATTCCAGAAAATTACTGATGCTTCCAAGTCATCGAACCTAATACTTAACTTATATTTTATATTATAGTATTAGATGTTTCTTGGTATTAGATATGTAGTGTTTCTTACAATATTTATATTTAAATTATTCTTTTTGATTTTTTAAAATATTCCTATTAAATTGGATTTTTAAAATTTTCAGTGCTAACATTAATTCAGCAAATCTTATTTCCACAAAAACATAACCTTCTGAACTAAGCTTAATCACTAACCACAAACATTTAAAAACAAAACAATAAACTAATATAATTTAAAATTATTTTTACATTAAAATATATTTTTTTACATAATTTTTAAAAAAATAGTAAATCCCTTCTTTTAACATATGTACAAGAATATGATTAATTAATAACTCAACAGACGTTCATTCCCTTTCATCACTCAAAATATTTTTAAACAAAAACTTTTTAATAATCATTTTAACTTATATTAGTATTTTTTTAATTTTGAACATTTTTCCATCTGCTACCATTTTTCTCGTTTTTTTCTTTCAAAATCAAACTTTTTTTAATTATTAAATTTATCTTCTACGTTTATCCGAATGTTTTCCATATGTTTTTGGATACAAATTTATTCCAAATATTTTATTTGACTTTCTTGATAATTTATATAATTCATTTAATTTTCAGAATTTTAATGCCAAAAATAAAACAATCTGAAAGGTTTTTATCATTAAATAAGCCAATTTCGGCATCCAAAACTTCAATTTCCCCATCCCCAATTCTTTATAATTATTCTCTTTTAATTAATTTAATATTTTTATTTAAATTTATTTTCTTTATTATTACTTTCCTTTTTTTATTTCCCTCCTCTTCTTTGGCCCAAACAAATGACCAAATTCGGCAAAAATGTTTAACCCCTGAAGCTAACCAAAATTGTGGTAATTGTATTGCTTCAAGTCCAGAATGTGCATGGTGTGCTGATACGGTAAAAATTAAAAGAAAATAGATTGAAATTACATAGATAATTTCTAGACCTTGATTTTTCCTGGATCCAGAGTCTAGATCAAGGCATTTTTCAGAGTTCCTTGATTTTTTCTTGACTCAAGGTCCTTGATCCTCACCTAAAATCAAGGTCAAGGTTTTTTTGAATAATAAATTTCCCTTAAATAATTATTTATTGAGGATAATTTTATTTAAAATTTACGAGGTAATAAAATAAGTGGAAATGTTATTTAAAAATATTTATTTATTAAATTAATTTAAATTTCAAGCGGTTAAATAGTAGTAGCCAGCGTTGTGATGTTAAATGGGTATTTGCTTCAGAAAAGGATAAATGCCCAAATCGACAACTTTTTTCTCCAACAACAGAAATTAAAGTTGCACCTCCCCATGTAAATATAATTAATATATTTTTATTTTAACTCGGAAATTTTTTTAAGAATTTACCTTTGGGCGGGAGAAGGTCAGATGGTGTTACTATTATTCAATTAGAACCCCAACAAGTTGAAATTAGAATGAAACCAGGCAGGTTTTTTAATTCAAAATCTTGCCAAATTTAAATACCTGAGTAATTATGAATTTCGGAATAGAATGTTTATTTTTGATAAAAAGAGATTATTGACTAAGAGCCATAAATTTAAAGGATAGCTTTAAAAATTATAAAATTAAGCAATATAAATCAGTTGGTTTTTAAAGTATACCTTGATATTAACAATTTTTATAAAATTAATTTTTTTAATTTGGAATATATTATATAAAAATTTAAAAACTATTTTTCAGGCGATCAAATAGAAGTTCCCTTTCGTTATTTGCATAAATTACCATTAAGTGGTTATGAAGTTCGTGATTTCACTATACAAACCTCAGAATTTCGTTCGCTCGGTATAGACATAGAATTTACAATTGAATGTAATGGGTAATTAATTGAAATTTTTAAATTTAAAAATAAAAATTTTTAAAGAGAAAAAATAATTGGAAGAGTTTGTCCAGGAATTAAACCTGACCAAAAAATTTCTTTTAATGCAACAGTTTCTCTAAAAGATTGCTCAAAACCGAATTTAGCAGCCGTTTCTGTCGGTATTTATGGATATAATACAGTCTCTGCTATTTTTATTACCCCAATTTGTGGGTGTGAATGTGAACATTCGAGACAACAAGAAAGACGTTCCCCTCGTTGTAGTTATTCGGGGAATTTAGTTTGTGGAGTTTGTCAATGTGATCATGGAAAAGGAGGGGTTTGTTAAAAATAAAAATATTTAATTATCAAAACATTATTAAAATGAAGAAACATTAACAAGTTCAAAGGTGATAAAGATGAAAAAAATAAATATAGGTAGCCGAATTTCGATAATTTAGGGAATAAATTTAACTAACGCTTTAACGGGGGATACGTGATAGCCGTCTCTCGCTAAAACAAATCTGTCGGGACCAAATTGTGCAGAGTATTTAGCAAATAGAGAGACATGATAACAATATTTAACTGTAAAATTATTTTAAATCAATTAAAATTTGAGACTAAAACTATTAATAAAAACATTAATAAATTTCTTAAAATAAGAATACAAATTTTATTTTACTAATAAATAATTTTCAAAGCAATTTATCTCTGTAAATATACATTTTTAAAGGAAAGATGTGAATGTGATTTAGATAAATATGGAGTAAGTAAAGCTGAGGAATTAACAGGATTGTGTAGAGAACATAAACAAGCACAAATATGTTCTAATAAAGGTCAATGTAAATGTGGCCAATGTCAATGTGAAGCTGATTATGTAAAGAAAATTAAAATATTAATTTTAATTTAAATTATTTTTAATTAAAGATTAGTGGTCGTTATTGTGAATGTGACAGTTCTAGTTGTCCATTAAGTGTTTCTGGGCAAATATGTTCTGGTAGAGGAACATGCCAATGTGGAAAATGTTAGAAATAAAATTTTAAAATAAATTTAATTAATTAATTTAAGGTGTTTGTGAACGTGGATACAGCGGGGAAGGCAAGAAATTTGAAAAAAATTTCCAAAAAATTATTTATTTAAAGATTGTAATTGTGATGATGATCCTGAACCGTGTACCGAAAATGGAGTAAAAGAAAAATAATTTATATAATTAAAGGAAACTTAATTTAAAGGTAACTTGTTTCAATAACGGTTATTGTGAATGTGGGAAATGTTCTTGTAACGTTGGATGGACGGGGAATAGATGTAATATTCCCGAATCTTTACCCGAAGAATCTTCAACATCCAATTTTCAATCTACAACAAGTGCAGAATTTAATAGTGCAGAAAATGCTGAAGTACACGGAGAGGTTTTGACTGAAGATGATTTGGATTATAAAACATCTTCACAAAATGGAGATTTCCTTCCAACACCAAAAAGTACAATTGAAAGTATTCAAGAAGCACAACAAGTAAATTTAGAAGTTTATATATTTACTAATTTAATTTTTCTACAGTCTGGTGGACAAGCTTCTTCAACCAAAAGTCTTTCTCTTTTAATTTTATATTCTTCAGTTATTGGAATATTAATGAAGGTTTTAAGTAATAGATGTTTTATGTTTTTTATTTTATTATAATCATTAAAGCTTTAATTTAGCTTTAAATTTATTTTTTAATTTTTTTTGTAATAATTCTTTCGAAATTAACTTTTATTAGAGAATTGAATTATAAAAATAAAATAGAATTATGGAACTGAAAAACTCTAAAAATTGTAAAATAAAGACAAAGCTCATTTCTATAAAACAATCACAACATCCCTTTATTTGTATAATTCAATTCCTTCTTAAAAATTTTATATTTCGGGCTGCTTTATTTACTAAAAATTAATTAGATTATTTAAAGCAGCTCTAATGTTTATAATTTGTTGCCTTTACAAAATAATATTAATCTCTTTTTTTTACTGCCCAGAATTTAAAATAAATATTCTTGTTTTTAGCTATTATATTGAGGAAATTAATGATACTTATTGTTAGATGAAAGTGTGGTGAATTTGATGTAGTGAAATTTGTGGTCTCTATAGAAGGGAGGATACCTAAATATCGCCTAGTATTTTTCGTATAGAAACGAGAACGTTAACTAAATGAATGTTTGGACTTTTCGTTCCTTTCCCCGACGTTTTAGCTCAGCTCGGAGCAACCTAATGTGTATAGAAATAGGTAAATTCAAATAAAGATATCTTATAATTCTATTAAAATTTATCCAATTTAAATATATAAATAGTATGTAGGTTAAATTTATTAATTAGTATGCACAGTTAATTAAATGACTTTTTTAAATCAAAACAGCTTTTTGTCCCATTTTCTGTTTTATCATCCAATATAGGACTGAATCCTGGTAAACATTTACAAAGAAATGATCCAGGTAAATTAATACAAAAATTGCCTCTTCCACATTTTCCGTTCTATTAAATTTTATTTTTAAATTTTTAAATAAATTTAAAAAATCCACCTTCCCACTATTTGTATTATCCTTCATTAAACATTCATCAATATCTAAATAGTAAATTAATTATAAATTAAATATTAAATCTTCGGATAAAATTAAAGTGGATTCGAATCCGAAAAAGTATCGAATATAAAAATATTTCATTACCATAGCAATCCTGTCCATCTCCAAAAAAACCCTAAAAAATAATTTATAAAATAACTAGTCTCATTTCAATACCTCTTTACAGCGACAAACAGCAGAGTACTTCCCAGATTGGCAAGTTGCATTTGGTGAACATGATTTAAATCTGCAATGATCAATGTTGCTGCAAACTGGACAACATTCACCGGGAGGCAGCTCTTGCTCTCTACAATCAAGTTTAGGGCAATGAGTGGGAAATCTGTTAAAAATTTTGTTAATTTTAATTAATTATTCCAAAATTTGATTGTAAACATCCATTCAAAAAATTTATTTAACATTTAAATAACCAACTTAAAAGAACATTCCACTCTACCATCCTTACAAAAACAGTAAGTGCAAGTCTTTGGCGAAAAGTGTTCTCCACTTTCGTAAAAGCGACCATTGAATAAACACTTAATTTAACAAAAAAATTTAAACATGCTTAAATTATGTAATATAAATGGTAAATATTTAACGCTAAAATTCATACTCGTACGAATTTTAGTACGAGGTACTAAATACTTGTGAAGGCTTATTCTCTTGTTGATAACTTTCTGGGAACTGTATGTGTCGGGTTTATTTTTATTAGTCAGCCCTAATTTAAATTCAACTAATTACCCGTTTTCCACATTGAGGGCAACATTGCCCAGGGAGCGGTGTCATTGGATAAGGACAATTCAAAGATGGACACCCTATTGGCTTGCAATACAAATTTCCTTCATAATCACAATGGCATTCACTACATTCTGTGTAATTTTGAACAAGGGAACCCGATGCTATAATTGTTGTTTTTCCACTGGGATATAAAATTGGACAACCACGTTGATACATTTCTATTTGGTATATTTGTTGCTCAATGTGTGAAAATTTAAGATTAAGTTCTTGCATTTTCTGATAGATTTCACCTATTTCAGATGTTCTTTCATCTTTAATTTTTTTAAATTATTTTATAAAATTGTTGTTTATCTAAATTTTAAATACAGTTGGACTTCCATTTTAAACCCTCTTGTTCATGAAAAATATATTTAAAAATGAGAGTAATAGTTTGGTTTATTCCACCCCTTTTTCTGAATCCCTTTACAGCATCTGTTAACTTTTTATGACAAATTATATATCATTTGAAGAGCTCTTCGAGTTGAGTCGAATGGCACTAAAATCAACTAGATCTGACTTAAATCAACAAAGTTATGACCGTTTGTTTTAACCACGTGCAGCGCCAGATGTATGATAAATTATAGATCAAGCAAAGCTCAAAATGGTCAGGGTTCATAAAAAAAGGGATGGAATAAACCAAACTATCACCAAAATGAGAAGTAGATATCTTAAATTAAGGGCATTGTTTATACAGCTTTCTTACCAAGTGGCTAACCAGATTTAAAAATGAGAGGTTTCTTGAGTGTTTCTAAATTCAATGTCCGACTGTATAAGAATGTACGTACCTCTCTCTGATCTTATTTGTAATTTTGGACATTGCATCTCAAGCGGAATGGCTATATCCGCTGTAAACTCCCGCAAAACAATGTTGGGCGAATTATTATTTTCATTATTTTTTATTTTCCTCTCTTCAGCATAATTTTCACCAATTGTTGTAATTAATGAATCAATTTGCATTTCGTACATTAAATGACTACATAATTCGAAATCGAAAATTTGAAATTAAAAATTGAATTGAATTTTATAATATTTTAATTAATTAAATAATTATATTTTTTAATTTAATTAAAAAATATCCAACTCGTTTAGATCCTCTTGTATTTTAATTAATTGTTTACAATCTTCTGCAATTGTCAGCCACGGACCGTTAAATATTATATGGAAAAGATGGAAATTAGAATAATCCTCAAGAGATTGACTTAAAATTTCTAATCGTTTAACTCTCCCAGCATCGATATTTGATATAAATTCCAAAAGTATCTGAAAAATAATTTTTTATTTACGTTTTTTACATCGAATCTCGTTATAATATACCATTATTAATGTATACAATTAAGTTTCATTTAGAGTTAAATGTTGTTGCCCACAGTCTGATCTGTGGGTCCTGATCATCTGGTTCTGATGATCAGAATCCCCACATCTGATCCCCCCTCACATCCCCGTATCTGATCCCCTCTCACATCCCCCGCATAAATGTGCAAGTAATTCTCTCATTTTAGTGTATGATTTTCTCAACATTAAGGACTTACACCACAACGAGATTCGAACAGATTTAAAATTAAATTTAACTGTTTTCTTTATTGTCGATGTAGAAATACGGAAAGATTTGTTACTGTCCCTTTCACTAATTGAAAATAAATTAGCTTCTGTTCCATTCTTTTGTAATAATTCAAATTTGAGGGTTAAATTACGTGATATAAATAAATGAGCAAGTAATTCTGACTAAATAAATATTTTATTTAAAAGAAAAAAAGAATATCTAAACCTTTTTAGTATCTAATTCATAGGCACTCTTCATTAAAATAAAAATATAAAAAATAGTTAATTGGAAAATAATTGTTAAAAAATAACAATTAAATAACATCCTTTCAAGTAATGATTTATAAAATTTGGAAATGGTTATGGTATTAAATCCTGAAAAATTAATAATAAAATGGTATTTGATATTTTATAATTTGGAGAATTTAATTTGGAGAAATGTGAAGAGAATTAACTAAATATATTAAGAGAAGCATTCAAGGTCAACAATTGCTTCAAGTTTAATAGGCCAATTTCTACCTTCCCTCAACTTCCTTATGCTCAAAATCCTTATGATATGAATTGAAGGTAAGAAATAAAAATAAATCTTAAACAAAGAAGAGTAGTAAATAACTTTAAAAATGAATGGCCAATTCATAAACTTTCCTAAAAAAAGCTTAAAAGACTCCATTAAATAAAAATTAAAAATATTTTTTTGTAATTGAAATCATATGATTTTATAAAATTAATTATTCATTACAATGAAAAATTAAGTGAAAAATAATACAAATGTACATAATTCAGATTCTTTATATTCATTCACTCATTATACCACTCCATTGCTTAAATAAAAAATAATAATAAATCCTCCAAAAAATCACAATATTTTTTTTTTATTTTTAATTTAAATTACTGTATTTTCTCGATTAATTCCCCTGGGGAATTATTTTTTCAACCCTTCCTTGGCATGGGGAATTAATCAAGAGATGGAAATTATTCGAGTTTTGGCATTTGAACGTGCAGTAGGATATTTGGGGGTGGGGAATTATTGTTTCAACCCAACTCTAGAGAAGGGAATTATTCGAGGGAGGGCAATTAATCGAGAAAATACGGTAAATCTCAAACACAAAATTTCCAATTTACTAAACAATACCTGATTTAATAGAGGGTCAATGACTGTAATTTGTTTGCCTTCTTTTAATTCCAATCTTTCACTGTCTTCTTCATTCATTATAGTACATTCAGAATTTACTGATTCATTTTTATTTTTTGTTTTCGGACTTTTTGTTTCATTTTTTGTTGTTCCCTCAGTTTTTATTAATTTTGATTTAATAATTTTGTTTGTTCTTCTTTTTTTGTGATTTATCATTGGAATCATAGATTCACTTGTGTTACTTTTTTCTATTGTTGAAGCTGAATTCTGTGTTGTTCTTTTTGTAAAAATTTGTCTAAATCCCCTGACAGTCATGAAAACAAAAATAAAAATAATTGAAGCAAAGAGGAAACCCCCAATAGCAACAAAGTACCACGGAAACGGGGAAATAGAAGAACGCCAATTGCCTTTACTGCCGGAAGGTGTTATTGTTGTAAAATTTTGTGAGGATCTGGTTGATCGAGTAGTTCTTTTGGAGATTGTTGTTGATAGGTAATCAGGCGAGTTTTGAAGAGGTTCAGAAGGATAAACAGAAGAAAGAGTATTTAAATTATCTTTTAATTTAGTGCTAGAAAGTGTTGTTATTTTATGGGTAGAAGGGGGTGTGAATGGTGTGCTGCTAAAATTAAAAATTTTTGTAATTTTATAAAATGAATATATTTTGACGTCACATATTTTTATATTAAAGTCGAAACTCGATTTTACATCTACTAAAAAATTGACGTGAAAACGAATTGTACCTAAAATTCGAAGTATCTTAAGCAGATCCTTCATCCAATTACTAGCCTAATTTAAAAAATTGTTCTTAAATTGAGGGGTGTGTATAATGGGTTATGTAAAATAGAGGCCGACTTTATTTTATTAGTTTAGCTATATATTGTTTTAGAAAGAATTATCAATCCCATTTTTAATATTAATTTAACTTTCTAACTTGGTAAATTCTTTATTGCTTGGAGATGCCGATGTCGTCGACAGATTTGATATCTTTGTAGATGAATTGCCTGATGTTTTATGTTTTGATGTTGATGTTTCTGTTATAGAAGTAGAAATATTCATCAAATTCCTTCCATTCTTTTCTGTTGTTGTAGCTTCATCCATTCTTGATATTTTTGTTGTTAATTGTAAAGTTTCTGTTGTTATTTTATTAAATATTTTTCCTTTATTAGTAGTACTTTTTTGTTCATTATTTAATTTAGGAACAGTTAGATTGTCATTTTTGTCAATTGAATTTAATATTTTAGAAATATTTTCAATTGAATTATTTTTCAGATTTAACGAATTATTTAAATAATTATTTTCTTCTTTTTTATTTTTTTCTTTTAATTCTTCAACTTTTGATTTTAAATTTACAGGTTTCCTCAAGTTAGATTTAAACATCGGCATCGCCGGCCAATCATCATCATCCTCCTCTTCTTCTTCCTCTTCATTATTTTCTTTATCATTTTTAAATTCTTTTTGTTTTTCATTTAATAAATTACTTATAGTAGTTGATTCTAAATTTAATTTAACAATTTTAGTTGTAGGAAGGAATATAGTTGTACTAGTATTTGTTTTAATTCTTTCACTAGTTTTGATTGTTGTTGTTAAATTATATTTTTTTGTAGTAATTGTTTTATTACCAATTTTGGAATATGTTGAAGTTGTGGGTACGTGGGGAAATGAAGTTGTGGGGGAAAATGTTGAAGTTGTGGTTTTTGTGGTAGATATTTTTACTGTTGAGGATTCGAGGGGTTTTGAAACTTTTGAGGTTGTATTGGGAGGGTGTTTTTCTGTTTCGATACTTGTAGAGATCAATATAAAAAAAGTGAAAAAAATTGTTGTTAATCTTAGCAATAAATTGGAAATAATCATAATTATATTTTGATTAATTATTAATTAATCTATAAATTTACTTTTTATATAAAAATATTCAAAAAAATAAAGAGATAAAGGGCAATTATTTATTTATTTTTAAAATATCTTAAGGTAACTTTTACTTAAAAATTAGTTCATTCACTTTTTGCCCTTAAGGTCAGCTGTTTCCTGTTAAATCATTTTAATCGTTCGCTTTAAACACTTTTAATTTTAAGGTGGGATTTGAAAGGATATATAATAATTTTAAAACTAAATAAAAATTATTTTTAAATTTTTAAAGGAAGAATATTATGTATTTTAACTGCTATTTACTGCTAAAAAACTTTAATTTCATTTTTAGAAATAAAGGATAAAAATCGAAGTATATATTTTTATTTATTTATTTATAAACTAAAAAATTGCAAAAATATACAAAGGAGCAAAAAATCCTTCCAAATACATCGAAATAAGTCAACCGAAAATTTAGGACTAGCAACAATATGAGAGGGGAAAGCAATATATTTTTGGTGTATAAATAATATATGAAATGGTCATTAATAGTGGACTAGCAAAATAAATAAATAAATGTGTTAAAGACTTTTTAAAATATTTAAGTGTAAAAGTGTCATCTTTTAGTTGCTATGGTTTATTAACAAGTTGTATATCAAGATTTTTACAGGAAATTTAGAGGTAAAATTATTAATAAATATTTTTATTCACTCTTGCCCACTCTCTCTTATATTTTATTCCATAAAATTTCGGTGGTGCGAAAAATCTGAGATGGAGGAAATCTGGAAATAACTCAATCCAATGCCCCTTTAAAAATATTTTACTTAAAATGTGCTAAGAAAAAAAAAAGAAAAAATTTGCTAGTTGAAAAAGAAATGAAAATAAATAAAAGTTGTCCTAAATTTATTTGGAAGGAAAAATCTAAAATAAATAAATACAATAATAAAGTTTTGAATAGAAAAGAGGGATTTCAATTTATGAATATGTAATAATATTAAAAAGGTCGCGCCAGCCAGAGAAAATAAATACATTAAAAACAGAATAACAACCTAAGTTTGGAGTGGACACAATTCAGTTACTTCCGTTCACAAAAGTATTTGTGCTCTTTCAATTAAATTTGTATTTTTCTATTGTTATGTAGGCAAAATATTTTTTTTAATTTAGAGAATTGAAAAATATTAAAATTATTTAAGAATGAAAATTATGAACTTATGATAATCTTTACAAAATATTTTTACCTAATAAAAACTATTAAATCATAAATTCTCTAAACAAACTGACATTTTCCACTTTACCGTTTAATTTTGAAAAAACCGTATACCGTTTATCTGAGAACCGTATACCGTTTCGTTTATTTTTAAAGACCCGTTTAAACGCCCGTTTACCGTCTAGTTAAAGAGAGAAATAGCTTACTTAGCTAGCTGGTTTACTCTAGGGCAAAAAAATTAGAGCCCAACATTTCGGAACACAAAAAGTTGGAAAATTCCGATTAACATAACATTTATCAATTCGATAAAAAATTAAATTTGGATAGAAAATAAAAATATTTATTTTATTCATTTTGTTCTTCACTCCGTTCTAATTTCATTTTCTCATTTGTCGACGAATCTTCCTTTTGGCGATTTCTTTTATTTTTCATTGCCGCCTTTTTTTCACTTTTATAAAACTTAAAATTTTAATTTAAAAAAATATTTAAATTTTTAATTACATTAATAACCGCCCCTCTATTTCTGTTAAAATTAGCGTATATTTCTTCTTTTGAATTTTTTCTACAAAATGCTTGTACAGATTTCTTAACAAATTCATCATTTTCGTCAACAAAAAATGAAGGAGAACATTTTTCAGGCCCTCCATATAAAGAAACATTCCCAATCTCTGACTTCGGTTGCGAACTTGTATCATCACCAACCTTAATTTGTAAGAGAAATTTTTTGTAAACATTTAAAGACTAAATGAAATCCTTACTTTTGTTGAACGCCCCATCATTGCAAGAAAACTAAACGGTTCTTTTTCGCCATTTAAAGGGTTTTCTAAAATGAATGGGAAATTAAATATTTAAAATTTATTTTTTAAAGAATATTAGAATAGAAAATTCATTGACTTTCGACCAGTTCTATTAACACCTCTCATTTCATTGTCCAGATTTTACGTCACCGCACTATCGCGTTTTTATCTATTTCTGGTTCACTCTCGTTAACCTAACATCAACTTTTTAATTCCCTAAAACATTTAAATCCCTATCCGAGAGGTGAGGCAAGATGGTGGCCCCACCGTAAAGGTCGAAATACCTAGACCGAATTTTATTTTTAACTCTACATTCAAATATTTAAATGCTTTAAAAACTGTTACTTCCTGACATTTTTTAAAGTAATAAAAATTAACCTGTAGTATTTGAAGAATTTCCCTCAACTCCAACACCTTTCATTTCATCGTCTACGCTATAGTCAACATTTCTGGGTCTTTTTGGTTTATTAAATCGAGATTCGTTGCTAGGTCCCATTATTTTAGTAATCTTTATAATTTTAAAATTACAGGCCGTACGAACAAATATAAAAAATATTTTTGATAAAAAAAAACAAAAATTAAAACAAAAAATTTAATTTTTTAAATTTTAATAAAAATACAAAAAACATGTTATTGTTAATTTACATATGTATATGTATTTTATGGCTTCCATTCGGGCAAAACTTTTTGTCTTCTACCATTATTATTGTTCCGCTCTTCTTCAACCAAACACAGCTGTGGACTAAAAATTAGTATTTAATTAAAAATATTTTTTTAAATTATTTACATATCTCTCCTCAACATAATTTCACGAATTCTCCAACGTAAAGCCAATCGTTTTTGCTCTCCCGGGGGAGGCTGTTTTTCCCATTCAGAACGATATTGTTGTAATTTAAGTTGTTGGCAATGTTTAAAAGGTGCTCGGCCTGGCTCTGGACATTGAATTGGACGTAGAGCTAAAAAATTAATTTAAAATATTTTAAAAGCTAATTTTTAAACCATTTGCTCGAAGAAATTGATTAATTAATTTATTCTCTTCTTTTGGATCAAGTGCTGCTTTACGTGTTTGCTCTGGACGTCTATTTTCCTTCTCTTGATTAATAACCTCTGTTCTTGAAGGCGAAGGTTCTTGTTGTTGTTGAACACTTTCTTGAACCCCTTCCTGTTGTCTAAACTCTTCAGGAATCCTCTCACCTTCTTCAATCTAAAAAAAAAAGGTTTGACAATATTAGATTAAAGAATTTGATATTTTTCAAGCCGCCACCAATCTATTTAACAAATTTTAACAACCCTATTCTAACGTAAAACTTTTTTAAACTAACCAATCTTTCATATTTTTTAATATCTGCAACTATTTCATCTAAACGCTCTTGACCATAATCTAACAATTCTTTAAATCCAGGAGGTAATCCATCAGAGGACTAAACAAAAAAATTTTTTTAAGAAATAAATATTTTTAAACCGTTTGTCCTTTTGGAATTGGAGCAGCCAAATCAGAAGAAAGATTAAATAAACTTTGATCGAAAATAGCAGAACCATCAGGCCCCCCTAAGAAACAAGAAAATAGTCGAGTATCGGAAATGTCGACATTTTCTTCAATTAATCGAAGATCTTGAAAAAAATAATACATTAATTTGTGTGTTAATAAATTTTCAGACAATGGAAGCGGGTAAAAAATTTTAATCTTAGAAAAGCTGAAAAGAAAATTTCGGATAATTAACTTGGTCTTTCTTAATGGATCGAAGATTAGAGATCGGTAAATTGCATTTGCAGGATCCTGTATCCGGATTGGATTTTAAAATTTCGAACAGGACAGCAAGATCCTCCAGAATTAATCCTGGAAACTGAAAAAAGGCAGGATTTCGGACAGGATCCTGAAAAATCCTGTGCAGGATCCTGTCCTGTGCCGATCTTTATCAGACTACTCCTAACAATAAATCATAAAAATAATCTGAAAAATCTCCAAAAAACCAATTTTCATTAATTATTCAAACAAAAAACCTTTTTCAAGTTCACATAATTCATCATTTTCAATGCTATAACCCATTTCATCAATGATGTCACGCAATTCACTAAAACCATCATCACCAGAATTTTCACTTGGTTCACTTAAATCTTGTGAATGATAGCTACTACTCATTCTGAATATTTTTAATGTTAAAATTAAACGAACTAAAAACAAAAAATATTAAATAAGAAATTATTTACAAACAAAATTACTTTTAAAAACAAAAAAGTTAAAATAATTTATTAATGCCTTTTCGATAAACAATATTTTAGTAAATGAGAATTTATTAAAAATTTGTTTATAAAAATTTACAGAACGGAATGAAATAATTGAAATAATCGATTTAATTGAAGAACGAAATGGACAGTCATTTTTTCCTTACATAATTAAAAAAAAATTTTCCTGCAGTTTCCTATTAATTTCTATTTTTTAGAGTCTAAAAAAATTTCCCTATTAATTCACTCATTCTGCCTTCCCTTGTTATTTGTAAATGACTGAATAAATCGATGTTATTTTTTTAAATCAAAGACGGTTACAAATAAAAAGTAAATTATTGAAGGAAGAGTGAGTGAATGTGACTACAGGGAATTTTTTTTAAATTGTGCAAAGAAAAAACGCAATAAGTACCCTCTCAAACTATGCCAAATAATGCGGATTCAAACGTGAAAGTGAACATTTCCCAGAAATCCATTTTTATTTTTTAGCAAGTTGTCGGATTAATTCTCCCAATTGTTTGTCATCAACACTTTTTAGCCATTCGGGTTGTTGTGGAATATTTTCAATTAAAGCCCCATTTATGTTTATCATTATTGATTTTATTTGATCAATTTTATCTTAAATTACAAATTATTTATTTTTATAAAATTCCAAAAAAACCTTTAGGTAATTCCAAGGCTGGTCCCCCCCCCCTTTTTTTCCTTTCTATTTTTTTCGATTTTTTAAACTTTTTATCGCAAATTATATATCGTTCGAAAGAGCTCTTCAAGCTGAATCGAATCGTACTAAATTCATCGAAATCTGACTTAAATAAACATAGTTATGACCATTTGTTTTAATCCCTTTCAACATCACAAAAAGCATGTCCATCGAGGATTTGGCTTCATAATTCTGCTCAGAATCTCTAAATCTGACCGATCATAGTATCATTCTACTCAGCTCGAACAGCTCTTTCAAATGATATATTGTAAATTATATGTCAAGCAAAAAAGCTCAAAATGGTCAGGGAAACATAAAAAAAAAGGGGGAACCAGCCTTGGAATTACCAACCTTTATCCAATGAAATATCATTTGGTTGGTGCTCAATTTTAATATGTTCAACGGGTGGAGCTTCAGGCAAATCAAATCTTTGTGTTGTCGGAATCCAACTTGTATTTGAGGAGGTTGGAAGTTGTTGATAACCATTTTGTTTTTCTGATTCATTTGAAGATTCATCGTCTTCTGTGGGGAATTTATTCGAAATTTTAAATAATTAATTTAAAATAAACCTGAACTATTAGAATTTCTTTCAATTCCAATTCCTCTCATTTCAACATCAAAACCTATCAGCCATCCATCATTTTGATCGTTTTCATCTTCTTCAGTATTATCTACATTTGCAGGCACTTTTGGTTGATTTGATCGAGATTCTCCACGAGGCCCCATAATTTTAAGAAATTTTTTAGAAAATGATGGGAAAAGGTCGATTCAGAGTCGCCAATTCAGAATATGGGACAATTCAAAGTCCGCCATTCAGAGTACGGCTAAAAGGGGACGATTCAGAGTGCATAAATTTTCGGACCTAGAAAATCAGTTTTTCTTGCGATTTTTGTGGTTTTTCTCAGTTCCTACGATCTGATGAACATTCTAAAAAATTTCCAAGTCTTGACTCTAGACTTTTCTTGAGTTTTTTCGGTCCTCATCTCACTTATAATGAAATTCTCCAAGGAATTTATAAATAAATTCAAAAATTATCTATGTGATTCTTAATTTATGGGATTTCTAATGCCAGAATATCAGTTCTGATTCATCTTTATACACTAATTAAGAAGAACAAACGATTAAAAAAGCTAGAATTAAAAAAAATTGAAGACGTGGTGAGACTCAAATGTTCAAAAACCTAAAGGTTTAGGCTTCAAAAGGTTTAGGCTAAAAGTAACCAGGTAACGAAAGAGTCTTAAAATATGGCATCAAAACGAAAGTTTTTGGGATATAACTTTTTTGTTTTTAAATCAATCCAAATAATTTTTGCTTTAATTAAAAGCTCTGGATGTGCTGGTTATTTTTTCATAGAAATTGTTAAGTTTTACCGACTTTCAAAAAAAGTTAGGAGCCGTTAACTGCGAATAATCGTGATTTAACATACTTAGGCGGGTGTAACTTTCTAAGAAATGATCGGATCCTTTCATAAAGTTAATAAAAAGAATAAAAACAAACATAGATTCTAATTGATAAAGAAAATTTCTGGAAATGATCGAAACAAAAAAAGTTATAGCACAGAGTAAGGCGTTTCGATGCTAAGTCGCCGAGACTCTATTGACAAGTAAGCCTAAAGGTTTAGGTTTGTGCTGAGACTGAAAATAAATGTAAAGACAAAAGAGTCTTGCTGACTTTTTGATATATAATTCAAGTCAATTAATTGTTTTCATGTTTACAGATTATTTATGCCATTATAGCATAACAACACTATTATATCATTTTAATAAACAAACCGATTTTACTAAACAAAACCGAAAAATTAAAGAAAATTTAAAAAATTTTATTAAAAATTATTTTGTGGCATTGAATAATTGCCTTTGGTTGTGCAAATTGTTGTTTATCTCTCTAAAACAATAAAAGGAAACAAAAAAAAGAATAAAAAGCAAAAATAAAACATATACACGAAAGCCAAAAATTGGAAAAATATATATGTAAAAATCTGACGTAATTAATTTAATTAAATATAAGAAAAACCCTTCCCCCCCCCCCCCCATTTTTATTCTTTTTAAATTTTTATCAGTTAATTTTTTTTAATTAAATTTCTTTCAGACATTTCTAATATTTTTATATGTCATAGTATTAGATGTCTGAGAATCAATATTCTCCACTAACACAGACTGTTGTTAGAACACTTACTGACAAACTTTATGAAAAAAGAAAGGCGGCAGCTTTGGAAATTGAAAAGTTTTTTTTTAATTTTTTTAAATTTTAAATTCTTTTTTTAGACAAACAAAAGAATTAATTAAATCAAACAATATGGCTGATGTAGAAAAAATAATTTCAGTTTTAGAACAATTAACAACAACACCAAATGGAAATATGAGAAAGGGCGGATTAATTGGGTTAGCTGCTACAGCTATTGCTTTGGGGAGTAAAGTGAGAATAAATATTTGAATGTTTTTTTAAATTTTTTTTTGTTATTTTAGCATTCAGCTGTTTATGCAGTTAAATTGTTAGAGCCTGTTTTTACTTGTTTTTTGGATCATGATTCTCGCGTTAGATATTTTGCTTGTGAAGTTTGTTTACTTTTAAATTTCTAAATTAAATGTTGGCACTACTTAAGATGAGGGTGTCGGGGCCTTTTTTCGGTAAATATGTAAACAATGGTCAGTCTATCAAAGAGTATTTATAAAGCTAGTCGAGCTGTGCCGATTGACACCAAAATCAAAATAAATCCGGCTTTAAATCGAAAAAAGGCCCGACACCCTCAGCTTAACAATAAGTAGTGCCTAAACCTCTCTTCCTCCATTTTTATTTAAAGAAGAAATTTAGGAAAATTTTATTTTAGAAAAATTAATTTTACTTAAAAAGAATATTTTTTGTTCTAGATATTAGTTTCTTTAACTATACATTTTCGATTTTTTAATTGCAAAAATTTAATGATAAATAATTTTAAAATTTTCAAAATAATTTCAAATTAACTTTTTTTATTTTTAGTCTTTGTATAATATTGTCAAGGTCTGTCGAGCATCAGTTTTAGTAAAATTCGACGAACTCTTTAATATTCTTTGGAACTTATCCTCCGATCCCGATCAAAATGTTCGAAATGGTTCTGAATTGTTAGACAGACTTGTAAAGGTTTTTTTTAATATTTTATTTAATTTTGATTATTTATTTTTACAGGAAATTGTTATTTCAACAAAATCTTTTGATTTGCAAAATTTAATGGTTGTAATTAGAGAAAGAATTTATTCTGTTGATTCTTCAAATAAAAGATTTATTATATCTTGGGTAATTTCTAATTTAATGATATTTCTGAAATTATTTTGTTTTACATTTTTATTCAGTTAAGTTACACAATAGGCCATATTTTCAATAATTTAAGTTTATTGAAAAGAAATTAGATAATTTTTAGATATCTGTTCTAAATGGAATGTCTAGTAAATAAGCATTCATAACAAGGAGAGTTTGCGATTTTTGCTTGCTAGAAAGGGCACATTCTCTATCGAATGAGCCCGGTCTCAACTGTTTTTGGGTCGGACACCTCGCAAACTCTCCTAAAATTGAAAATATTAGTTTATATTTTTTTACAACGTTTCCATCCTTATTTTCTAAATTCGAAATTCTTTAGTTTTATTAATGAACTTTTTAATAGATAAGAATTCTATATAATTTTTAAGAAATCATATTTTAATTATTTTTTAAAGCTTTTCTCAATTTTAACTGTGCCTGATTTTTCTGTTAGTGAATATTTTCCAGAGGTTTTGGATGGAGTTTTTAAAGCTTTGGAAGATCCCTCACCTGCTGTACATGAAATTACTATATCCGTTTTGACAGAAATGCAAAATAAATTGGATCCAAAACGGAGTGACAATGTTTATTTTTTTATTTTTTTAAAATTTTTTCTTTTGTTATTTAAAGGTTAAATTAGAGGGTGTTATTAATGTATTGGTTATTCAAGCAACTTCTCAAGTACCTATTGTGCGTGATATTGCAATTCAGTGGCTTAATCAGGTTTTTAATTTTTCATTGAAGGGCTGGCCCCCTTTTAATTTTAAATATTTTGATTTTAATTGGTCAAAATTTTGAAATTTTCTCATTTAAAAATTGTCTTTTTATTTAATCGATACCCAAAAAATTTAAAACATCTTGCCAAACATTTTATAAAATATTAAATTTTAACACCAATTATTCTTCTTTTTTTACAGATTAATATTTATTATGGCGACAAAATTCTTCCAAGTCTCCCTTCCTTTCTTATCTCTATTTTGCCTTATCTTTTCGACAACATGTCAAATGATTTTGCTGGTTCTCGACCACTTTCTCTTCCAAATGATTTAAATCAAAGATTAACATCATTAGTTAAAACAGATTCACAAATTCCTGTAGAGGCTGTTGTTGAAGTACTTTTGGCTCATTTAAGGCATGAAAGGACAGAGACGAGAGTAGCAACATTAAATTGGATAAGACATTTACATTCTACAAATCCAACAAATGTTTGATTTTAAATTATTTAAAAAATTATTTTTAATTTAAAAAAGATGTTTCGTTACATGGACAGATTCTTCCCTGTTTTGCTTGATTTATTATCAGATCCAACTGATGAAGTTTTGATGTTGGATATTATTTTAATAACTGATATTTGTGGACAACCTAAACAACAACAGCAACTTGACATTCGTTCATTGAAATTGGGAGATGAATTAAATCAGGAGGTTTATAATAATTACTATAAATCAAGGGCGTAACCAGGAGGTTTGCGTCCCCTCCCTGAAATCGACCCTCTTTCTACGCCCTTTCTATAAATTTACCTTTATTTTTATTTGTGGGGTTGTTAGACCTTTCCCTTGAATATGATAATTTATTTCATTTGCCTAGTACCTTCTATTCCTAATCCTTAAAATTGATTACTATCTCGTCTTGTCCAATTATAATTTTCCATGTTTTCGGAAAATTCATGCCCTCCAATCAAGAGGGGTTCTTTTACAAATTCTTGTTTCCTTATTTTAAAAGCATCCTTGGCAAATAGTATACATATTTAATTTTTAGTAATATCAAATTATTTTTCAGTTAAAGACGATCTCTCCTTATTTGGTTAAATTTAATATTGCTTTACTAAAAATGTTTAAAGATGATAGAAAATTGGTTGCTGATAGAGGAATTCAAATTATCCGGTAATTTTTATTTTTTAAATTAAATTAATTTTTTTTATTTTAAAGACAAGTTTGCCTTCTTTTGGAACCAACAGATGTTTTTAGAACAATTTCTCTTTTATTGAGTTTTTCAATTAATTTTGATTCCTTTTTCCCTCAAAATTCAACTACACCCCAATTGAATTTAGGGGGAAATAAAGATTTATATATTGAATTGGAATTTATTGCAAAAATGGTTCAAATGTTAAATCAAATTTTAATGACCACAAGGTATAATTTCAACTAAATTTTTTCTAGTCACTCTAGGGATTTTATGATCTGGAGTTGTTATATATTTTTTTGGTATTTATAAACTTATAATACGAGGATTAATATTAGGAACAAAACCCCCTTAAAGTGCTGTTAATATTTTGATTTACATTCAATGGATTTACTTTTTCATACTTCTCTCATACTTAATTTTGTCTTCAAAAAAGTTCAATTAATTCCCATTTTCCATTTAAAAGTTGTTCTTCCTAAATTACTTTAAATTTAAAAAATTCTATCAATTTCATTAAAATTATCCTAAAATTATCTTTTAATTTCTTTCCTTTTTTTCTTTTAAGTGAACTTTTTCCTTTACGTCAACGTCTTCGTAATCCAGACCAGAGTGATTCTACAGAATTATTCCAAAATTTATATAAATGTTGGTGTAATCAACCAATATGCTTATTATCTTTATATTTACTTTCACAAAATTATCAGGTATTTCTTTTAATTTTCTTTTTTAAATATTCCATTCCCCCAGTTAGTCAGCACTTGAATTAATTCCTCGTTTATCTGATATTGACATTACAATGGAACTTTTGATAGAAATCGATAGAATTGTTCAATTAATTGAATCACCAATTCTTGCTTGTAAATTATTTTTTGTAATTTTTTTAAATTTAATTTCCTTTTAGATGTACGTATGGATTTATTACATCCAGACTATCAAAAGCCTTTAACTGCCTTACTTTCTGCTTTGCTTATGTTACTTCCTCAAAGCGAGGCTTTTTCTATTTTACACAAAAGATTACAGGCTGTCCCACACTTGGCTGTGCTTGAGTAAGAAAATTATATTTTTTTGTTCTAATCTGAAAAGGGAATCCCTTCTTTTCTGTTCTGAGAATATCTTGCGTAGATTTGATTTTTTAACAATATAAAACAATATAATTTCCCTGCTAATTTTTCCAGACCCTCTTTATTTCCTCTCGTTTTTCAATTTCCCGTTTTCTCTTTACTCATATTTTTCCCTATCTTATCCTATCAAAGGAAGGATGGGGTCTATGAACTTGGATATAATATCTGGGCAGCTATCAGAATCCTCCTAAAAATTATGCCCATGGATGGATTCAAATTTATTTTTAGTTTAATAAAATTATTTTTTTAGAAGTATGAAGAAAAGTATGGCTCGAAGTGCCGGCTCTTCTTTTTCTCCTCCCAACAAAATAAAATTTAAAGAACTAATTCAATATTTTGACCGGGTTACACAAGTTCGTTCAATGGCTCTACGAGTACATCACAAAAAAATGTTAGAGGAAATAGCCAGACAAAAATCAGAATAAATTAGAAATTAACATTATTTATTCTTATTTATTTTTGTATAGAATATTATTGTAAGATTTTATATTATTTTTTAAACGGAAACAATATTCTAAATACTACAATTTTTAATCAAAAACATTCACAATTTATCAAAATCGAACTTTTGGTTTTATATTTTTACCTAAAAGAAGTTTAATATTATTTTAATGGGTTTATTAAACTTTAAGATTTATTATTCTTATGATCTCAGAAATTTTGTAAACAACTTTATATTCACTTAAAATAATATTACTATTTTATTCCAACCCATAAAAACCGGTTTTACTCTGCTAGATCAAACTTGATCACAATTTTATTTTTCAACATGTGAAAAATAATTAAATAAAATTCAACTCTACACCAGGGATGTCACGGGTTAACCGAAACCCGGCCTTTTTTTCGACCCGAAACCCGATCCGAGAAATTTTCTAAAACCCGACCCGAGTTTTCTCAAAATTTTCGTCCGCGTCGCAGAAAAAGGGAAGATTTTTAGCTTAATGATTCTCCAAAATTCTGAAAATTTTCGCCTGCGGCGCTGAAAAAGGAAGAAATCTGGCTTCGGACCTTCAAGAATTCTCAAAATTTTCGCCTGCGGCGCTGAGAAGAGAAGATTTTTGGCCTTCCAAAATTCTCAAAATTTTGGCTTTTTTTCGACCCGAAACCCGATCCGAAGAAAATTTTTAAAACCCGATCCGAAACCCGACCCGACTTTTTGCTCAACCCGAAACCCGATCGAGAAAAATTTTGGAAACCCGACCCGAAACCCGACCCGACATTTTTCTCAACCCGTGACATCCCTGCTCTACACATCTTCAGAAGACTGGGGTAGTTTTACTTAATGTTTATAGCAGTATTATGTTCCTGGCTGGAAGGGATTCGACTTTCCATTCGAAGCCTAATGCCTCTTTGTCTATGCAGTGCGAAGCAGTTGAGCGCAAGAGACAATTTTGAAAAACGGAAGGAAAGGCCAAAATCTAACGAAAAATTGTAAACTTTGTAAACAGGGTGACACTTTCCAAATCACTAAAAAGGAGTATGGCCTCTTAAAAAAGGAGCAAAATGGGTCATTATTTTCGACGAAGACGTTAATTATGATAAGAAGTATTCGAAAAATATTTTAAAAGTTTTTTAATGAAAAAAATCAAAAAAATATTTTTATAACGAAGACAGTTCTCGAGCGGGATCTCGATCATTATTTTTTTGTACATAAAAATAAAAAACAAAATGTTCTGTTCGTTTTATGGCCAATGATTGTGAATCAATCTACCCGGCCAATCGATTCACACAAAAAGAGAACAAACAAATAGTCGAACACAATCTCTCTCTCTCTCTCTTTTTGTTTATTTGCTTTAGAGACTCTTTGACTTTTTGGCAATATAAATTTATCTGTCGACCATTTTGCGCTCTCTTTGGTCTTGACAAAAATTTAAAAAAAAAGAGAGAAATACTTAAAAATAAATTTTGGCGGCAGTTAAAAGACTTCAACTTCAAAAAGATTTTCTCCTCTTTTCTTATTTCACTCATTTATTCTCGTTCCTCCCGCTACCATTTTTCTATTTTTATTGTTTTTTTTTAAATTCAAGGTTATTAATTTAAATGTTAAAAAATAATAATAATAATAAAATAAATATCAAGGTTATAGAATATTTAAAAATAATTTTTTTTTGGACAAAAAAAAAATTAATATTAATTATTATGACGAAATTAAATGTCTGTCTGTGTTCGTCTTTTTATTTTTTTCATTTTAATTTAAATTTCCTTCACAAATATTAACTAACAATTCTTCATATTGATTGGTTACAAAATCATGTCTAGAAAATTTAAAGTTTTTTTTATAAAAATTTATTTTTTAAAATTAACTTTTAAAAAAATTTCTTTTATTTTTACAGTTAGTTTATCTTTATTTTAAAATTTCAAAATTTTCCCCTTTTCTCTAATTATGTATATTTTGTAATACTTTATTTAACTTTGAAATCTTTTTTTTCCTTCCCTTTTGTTTCCCTATTTTAATTGTTTTAACAATAATTACAATTAATTTTATTTAATAATTCTTTAAATTAGGGGTGGACAAAACCGTTTAACTAAACGATAAAGGGGTTTTTTGGTAAAATTAAACAGAACGGTATACGGGTCTCAGATAAACGGTATAAAGGTTTTTTGTCCACCCCTACTTTAAATAATTAAATTAATTTATTTTTTACCTTTTTTATCTTTTACCATAAAATTTCTTAACTCTTCTTAACTTACATATTTAATTTCTTATTTTTGGCAATTAAAATATGTAGGTAGATCGTTTATAAAATTCGATTTCTCTCTTTCATTTTCTTTTATTTTAAAAACAAATATTTTTTAAATTAACTCGTGTTTAGTTTTGATTTTTTCCTTTATCTTTTCTTAAATAAAATATAAATTTAAAAATAGTCTCTATTTATTTGTTACTTTTTTTCTTAAAATAATTTCTTTAAAAAAATAATTCCACGATTTTTAAATAAAAAATAATTATTTTTAACAAAATTTAAAAAATAAAAAAATGACTAATAAATAAATAAATTTAAGTGATTATTACAATAAATTAAATAAAGTTTTATCCAAAAATTCATTCACAAAAAACTTCTCTCTCTTTCTTAAAAGCTACACACAAATTTTTCTTTAAAAAGAGACTAAAGTTTATTTTTTTAAAGCTTTAAAAATAAATAACCAAATAAATTTATTTAAACATTTTTCTTTACAAAAATTCATTTTCTTTTAACTAAAAAACGTTAATAAATTTTAAACATTTATTTTTCTTTTGATGTTTTACATTTTTGATAAATGTGCAAAAATATATTTATTTTTTTAATTATTTAAAGTCTTTAATTTTTTGGAATTTTAAAAAATTAATTTTGTTATTTAAATTAAAAAAATTTTTTTTAATAATTTAGATGTAAATATTTATTTAAAAATTAATTTTTTTTAAATTTATTTTTAACATTGTAATTTTAAAATCTTTGTATAAATTGTGTACACCCCAACGTACCGCAGTGCTATAACTTCGTTCAAAATGGTCGAATCCGGGACACCCTTATATGGTTCGACTCAGCTCGCGAGATGCATCGAACCATACATGTCGTCCCGGATCTGGCTATTTTGAACGAAGTTATAGCTCCGCGGTACGTTGGCCTGCTCCCTCATAAATTAACTACTCTCTCCGAATGAATACTTCTTTACAGTTTTAGTTTCTTAATAAAATTTTTTTTCGACATTCCCTATTTTTTATTAAAAATATTTTTCTCTAAATTTTATTGTTAAAATAAAAATATATTTTTAATTTTTTAGATAAATATTTAAATGTTAAAATATTTAATTAAATTTATTTTTATTTTTAATATTTTAATTTATTTAATTATTCCAATAAATAATTTAAATTTAAAAGAAGAACGACAATATTTAATTGAATGTAAAGATCCTTTATTTAATTTAAATAAATGGGAATGTAAAATTAATAAAGTTGTGGAAGAAGAAGGAGGAAATTATTCAAAAAATATTATTAATAATTTAAAAAATATTTCTAAAGAAGAAGAAGAAAAGAATAATTTAATTAATTCTGTCAATCCTTTAGAATTATATTATTCTTTTAAAGTAATTTAATTTATTTTTATTTTATTTTAATTAACCTCCCCTATCCCTTCTTATGGAACCAGAAAATTTCAAAAATTAAAGGAATCCTCTCACAAAGGAGAGTGCCTGAGGTGTCCGTGGGACTTTTACCAAATTTCGTCCCGAAGTCCCAAGGACACAACAGGCACTCTCCTTTGTCAGTTATTCTTTAATTTCCCTCAAATAAATTAAAACTTTGTTAAAAAAAAATTTCTTTTTTTATTTATTAAATAATAATTAAATACCCTTTACTCATTTATCTACATATTCCCCCACAATTTTTTAGGTGAATCGTTCAAACGGCCAATTATTTATTTCAGCAATTTTAAGATGGGAATTTACATCCACAAAATTTTTTAATTTTTATAAAATATTTCTTTATATTGAAGAAATAAATAAAACTAAAAGTATTGACATAGCAATTTCTTCATTTAATAATTCTTCAATTGGAAATTTACAAAGGGTAAATAATAAATAAATAAAATAATTTAAAAAATAAAATTATTTTTAAAGTTAAAAATTGTTTTACAATTGGATGATTTATTTAAATTTGGATATTCTTACAATATTAAAGTAAATTTATATTTTTAATTTTAATTTGAATATTTAAAATTTTTTATTTTATTCGTATAATGTTATTACAATCAACCTCTATTTTTAAATATCCCCCAAAGTTAGGGGGATATTTTTTTATTATTTTAATTAGTGAGGAGCCGCCTTTCTAAATTACCGAAAATGACAAATTAAAATTCTTTTTATTTTTTTAAATTTTTTTTTATTTTTTAGATCATTTCTTTACCTTCATTACAACATCAACAACAAAATGAAGAATTAAATAAAAATTCTTCATTTTTTAATTTAACTAATATTGAAGAAGGGATATATGCATTTACTGACAAACAAATTAATTTTGATTCTTTACGTTGGTTTTCTAATATTTTTTTAATATTTCTATTTTGGAAAGGATTTCCTTTTTTTTAATCTCCATTTACATTTACCCATTCATTTTTTAAACAAAAAATTATTTTAAAATAATTTAATTATAATAGGTTCTACATATATTTAATAATTTTGCATTACCACACCTTAAATTAATTTTTTTGATTAACGTCTATATCCGTTTAAACAAAAATTTTTAATTAATTATTTATGTATGAGATCAAAAAAACTTTAAAAAATTATTGGAATGTTCACTTCCATTTTTTCCCCGTTCCAGTTATTTTTACTACATATTTTTTTACTTTTTATTTTTACAAAAATTTTTTTTTAATTTCTTTTTGAAAGAAAAATATTTTTAGAATTTTTAAAAATTAATTTTTAGCAGAAGAATTAAATTCGAATATTTGTCATCAAAAATTAAATGATAATAATGTTGATGATTTAAAAGAATGGAAAAAGCGGCAATCATTTGCTAGTAGATGGTTAATTAATTAATTTTTAAAAAATAATAATTATAAATTGGTTAAACTTATACATAATTATCTCACATTTATTTAATCTTCCTTCCATTTACCAACCCAAAACTCCCAGTTATTTCAATTTTTAATGCTTCGGATAACTGAGAGGGTAGGGTTGTCGGTTCTTTGAAAATCTTCGGATATCCGGAACCGAACCGAAAGATCATCGGTTCTTCGGTTCGGTTCGGTCCGACAACCCTAACTGAGAGTCTTTGTCACTTATATTTTTTAATCCCCAAATTTTTTTAAAGGACAGGAGCACTTCGTTCTGTTGTGTTTTACCCTCTACATTCGGCTATAAATATTTCTTTTTTTGGAGCGCCTCCTTCATTTTGCATTAATTTATACAAAATACAATTGTGGCTATTAAATTCTCTTTTGCAAGAAAAAATTGTTGAAAATTTGATAAATGAAGGGCCGGGAGTATTTATTGGTTTTGTTGAATTTAGAGATCTTTTGAGTAGCGATACAAGATTAAAATATAAAATTAGAATAATTCCAATTGAAAGAAGAGAAGAAGATGGAAATTGTATTTGTGAATTAAATAATAAATGTGGGTGTGTTCAGGCAAGTTTTTAATTATTTTGCTTTCATTTGATCAGAGCTACTCGAAATTTCGATTTTTGACTTTCGATTTTTTCTCACGATTTTCGATTTTCGAATCTTTTCATAAAATTTCGATAATTCTAGTTTTTCCGATTTTCGAAGATTTTCTTATTTCGACGCAGCTCTGCATTTGATATAGGTATTCTAAACCGTTTATAACAATAACCGCCGTCATTCCCTTAAACTTTATTTCCGTTTTTTAAAACAAGTTTCAGCACAAACTTGTTCGAGAATTTTCTCTTTTACCTTAACTAACCCACAATCCGAAAAATCTTAGCGTTGTCCTCAATACTTATAGTTACCGGAGAACTCTCATATCCAACATAAACGAAATTTAAATTTTCTTAGGATTAAATAAAAAAAATTTTATTTCTAAAATAAATTTATTACATTAATTTAAAGGTTATTTCTGATTGGTTTACAATGCCAAATGCTTCTACTTCTTCAATTACCTTTAATCACGAACAAGAAACAATTTCCTTATTAAATACTAGCAAAAATGAAATATTAAAATTAAATGAAGAAAAAACAAATTCTTTATTTTTGTTAATTTTAATTTGTTTATTCCTTGCCTTAACTTTTATTCTTCTTACTTTTGCATTTTTACTTTTTATTTTAAAGAAAATTGGCTGGACAAAAGGAAAAAGACAATCCTTTATTATTATCAGGTAGTTTTTCCTGAATATTTTTTGAATTAAGATGGATATTGGAAAGATTAAATTTTTGTAATTAATCTAAGCGAATTTTTAAAAAAATTTTTGGCTTGGAGAGATTAATAAATAAAGAAACCGAAGATTTTAAATACAAAATATTATATCCTGATATATACATCTCAAACCAAATAATATAAATACAGTCATACTTTTATTTTCAATACCCTCTTGATGCTGAAAAATTTATTTAAAAATGGGTGTCCTAAATTTGTTTAGAAACTCACTCCTCCTACCAATGATCAAGACTAAATTAGCAGAAAATAAGATCGAGCTTTATTTAATTTTTTGGGTGTATTAAATTATTTTAGGATTGTCTGAGTTAATAAATATTTTTTAAATTAAATTTATATTTTAAGAAAACCAAAAAATGAACACAATATTCTAACTACTTCCAAAAAATATAATAATAGTGGTGTTCCTTTATTAAATGGGAATGTTTCTGGAGGTGTTTATTCTATATTATTAGCCAATGCCCAACCAACAAAAAGTGCAGATTTGGAACGTTTTGCCCGTTTATTAGTTAAAAACGGCGTTAGAATATTTTATGATCGTTGGGATAAAACGGCTATCGAAAGGAATTTACTTCTTTGGGTACAACAGGCAACAACAAAAGCTGATAAAGTAAAGAGAAAACAGAATTTAAGAAAAAATATTTTTAATTAAAGGCTGTTTTCTTTTGGGATAAAAGAGCAGAACAATTAATTACTCCAAATAATGAAACATTAAAAACAAGTACAAATATTTCTTGTAATTCATCAGACATTTTTGATCATGTCTTTTGTGCTCTCCATCAACAAATGGATCCGGAAAAGACTGTTAAGAATTTTTTTTAATTACAAAAAAGGGCTTTTGAATTTATACGTCCCCTTTAGTTAAAATCGAAAAGTTCTATAATGTAAAGCATATAGTGCTATTTAATTCCTAAGGCTATGCAGCAGGCGCATGATGTAATGAATAACACATCCGTCCGGTCTACTGAAGATGCTGGTTCGCCTTTTGTATTAAATAAATAACTATAGCCCAGCTGCTTTACTATAATAAAAAATTGAAATTTTAAAATGACGGACCCATCCTATAAAATATAAAAAATTGGAGGGATTGATCCAATAAGCTCCCCGAAGCAAGGTTGGTGTTATCTACCTATCCATAAATTTCTCTCTGATTTGCTATGGCAGAATTTTTCAAATTATTTTGATTGATGACTAAATAATTCTTCGGGCTGCCTTCAAAAATGTTTTGGCCTAAAAACTCTATTTTCCTTTTATTTTAAAATTTATTTCCTATAAATTTTAGATTTTCGTTAATTGGGATGAATCTGCAATTAATGAGAAACCTCTTGGATGTGTGGGAGAGAATAGGCCATTCCTTTTTTCGAGAGATTTGGCATTAATTTATACAGCATTAAATATTCCAGCGAGTGAATTAGATATTCAAGTACTTAATTCTTTTTTGAATTTTATTTAAAAAAAGAATATTTTTAAAGAAATTTGCTCGTTTACCTTCATCTTCTTTAATTTCTTCTTCAACAACTCCTTCATTAACTATTTGTGTGCCAATTAAGGCAAATAATAAATTAAAAGAAAATAAAAAAATTGAAAAAGATAAAGAGAAAGAAGAAGAAAATATTTTTTTATTGCCAAATAATGAAGAATGTGAAAATGAAGGAAAGAAGGAATTGTTGTTGAATATTAAGGTAGAATACTTAAATTAAATACTTAATAATAATTTAATTAATTTTTTTTACTCTTTAAAAATTAATTTTAAATTTTTTCAGTCAGCTAATCAAGACAAATTAAGAGAAGAAAAAGAAAGGCAATTATCTGCATTCGATTCAGGAATTGATTCTTCTTGTGTGATTGCCTTATAAAATTTTATATTTTTTACATTTATATATACATAATATTTTTTGTTAGAAATTTTTTATTTTATTTATAATTGTTTGGGAAGTTCTTTTGAAGGATTTTCTCGGAACCGATTAAGTACATATACACTCTGTTACCTCCTTTTTTAATTTTATATTTTATATTTATTTTGAAATAACGATATTAAATTGTTTTATTTTTAATAAATTTATATATAAATATACATATTTTTAAAGTATTTTCTAGAGTTCGCCGGGATCGGGATCACGGTCGGGACCCAGAATCGGGATCATTATTCCAAAATCCCAGCCAACTCTAGTATTTTCTATTTATTTTTTAAAACCTTTTAAACCTCCCAATTAAATATTATTTTATTTTTCCAATATAAAGCTCATTTAGTTTATTTTCAATAAATTCTCGAGAAAATCCGTGTGCCACAACATTATTTATTGCAATGCTTATATCCTTTAAAAACTAACAAAATAATTAATTTTAAAAGAATTAATTACTTTCCCCGCATATTTAAGCATAGCATCACCTCCTATTTAAAAATTAATATTTAAAATGAATACTTTAAATACCTGGATGAGCTAAAAAAATTATTTTTTTTTAATTTTTTTATTTAAATTTAAAACATACATTTATAATAACAAGTTAAATTATAAACCTTTAAATAAATTAATTTAAATATTTAATTATTTAAATACCTTTCCATCTTTAATTAGCCAAATATCATCTGGATATTTATGCAAATTAACCTCATCAATGGAAAAATATTTCTCATTTGTCATTTTAGGAAAATTTAATTCAGAAGGAAAGAGTAAATTTAAAAATATTTGGATTTTTTGGATTGAAGCAAGAGATTTAAGGATATAATTGAAATTAAATTTAGGTAAATTCTCGCTATAAACTCAACTAAATTATATAAACAATATCTGATATTGTACATATAAACCATTATCTATTTTTGAAATTGTTTACGTTTGTTATATGTAGAAATTGTAGCCTCTTGGTTTTTCGAAAATTTTTCGCAAAAATAAAATTGTCTTCTTGGCCCTAAAAAATTATAATTTCCCTCCTGGGGCACTAATAAATTAATTATAAGTATTATTAAATTTTCGATCTATCTCTGCTGAAAAATTACTCTCGGTCACTTCTCGACGCACTCGTTTTATTACGTTTGAATGTTTTGACATTAATAAATATAAATATTATTTTTTAAATTAATAATAAACACGACATCAAGCAAGCAAAATTTAATGTACAACTTCGTTAAATAATTCACAAGTCGGGCAGAAAAAGTTAAATATTTTTTATTACTTCAAATACCTACTATACATATTAAAACTAAAAAATAAATTTATGATAAACTACATAACCTATGTAAATCCACAAATTATTATGTAGAAATTAAATGACAAATTTTAAAAATATTATGGGATTTAAAATTTTCGCCAGATTTTTCAGTTTCAGATCTTATTAAGCTAAATTTGGTATCGTTTAAGGCTTTTAGAGTTCTTTTAAATGTGCTATCTTTGTATTTTATTTTTCACTCCAAAAATGCCCCTCCTATATAGTTTTATATTATCAAAGACCCGTAACTCGATCTCTCTGTTTCCCCAAATTTAACCACTTGGATAATTAAGAATTTCTTTTGTTAAATAATATTTTAAAATAAACTCCGATAAATTTAAATAATTTATTTATAAAATTTTTCTTGTTAAAGTAAAAAATATATAGTGTAAGAATATGAGCAAATATATTATAAGTGTAATATTTAATTGGAAAGGGAATTACTTGAAAATAAAAGAAAGACGGAATATTTTCAAATTTCAGCTCTGATAAAGATACAATCCTTATAAATTAAATGAGAAAGATGATTAAAAAAATTATAAAGTTAGCTCCTCTCCAAGATCCCCGCTGTCAATTTTAAAATGTCTCAGGGAAAATTTCAGGTGAGAATTGACAGAAAAATTAGCCAGAAAAAATCTAAATAAATATGGAGGGCTCGAGGAACAAAGGAGGAGCAAAACCATTAGTTTATATAAAAAGACAAATATTTAATTAATTAAATTAATATGCAACTGATAAATATTGTATTTTATTTTTGATATTTAATTTCGTCTTGTTTATGGCATTAAATATTAATGCATGTCCTAAAAATAAATTTTAATAAATTAAAAAAACGAATTTTAAATTGAATCTTTGCCTTAGAAATACCTAGTAATTATGAATTACGTTTAAGAATTACAGCTAACTGTAACTATGGAAAAGGGAAGGATTGTTCCAAATATCCAAATTTTTTTGTTTTTAGCGATCCTCCTCATACCTATCCTAATTTCCCGAAACACACTTTTTTCTCAATTTTCAAAAAACAAAATCTTGTTTACTTGTTAACTACTAGTGTTTATATTAATCGAAGAATTCGAGCATTCAACTAATTGGCTAGTCGAAACAATTTGTTGTTGTTGCCCAATTGTTTGGGGTGCAAAAGCCAAATTATTGCATGTCCCAATACCCAAAGAATTATGTGTTGTTGGTGTTCCTCCAGGGAATAATTGCTTTAAATGCTCGACTCGAGCAAGTAATTCTGCTGCAACTGTTTCGGCTTTAACAGAGTCACGATCGCAAAATGCATAAAGCAGCCTGAAAATGTTTAAGTTTATGAAAAAAGTGAAAAATAGAAAATTATTTAGAAAATTATCTACTACATTTTTTTAAGTAATTTATAAAAAAAAATTAAATAAATTCTTCACCTTTTCAACAAAGATTGAAATTTCATATTTTCAACAGTAACAGAAATCGCACTCTGCAAATCAGCAACTTCGACATTGAAAAGAAGAATAAGTCCAAGTAATAAATTAATTGTTTCATTTCGACGCCATTCGACCGGAAAATCAACGTAGAATCTTTAAATTTAAATAAGACATCAAAGAGGGCTTATTGTTAGGCTCCAGTCCCAGGGATTTTTCAATTTAATCACTAAATAATCAACAGAAAATCACGGGAGATCTCTAGTTTTAACCCCAATTTTACCTTATAGTTGATTCAGGAACCCCATTTTGTCGTAAAATAGCAACAGTAAATTCATTCACCTCCACACTCAGAACAGAACGAAGAACAAAAAAACTTCCAAAACAACCTTCAATTTAAAAAATATTTTCTCAATTTTTACAAAAAATATTCACTTTTTAATAAACGTTCTTGGTCGTGCTGATCAAGACGTTTAAAAGCATCCAAAGATTTAGCTAAACCAATTAATCGACGCAAATCAGATTCTGTGTAATGCCCCATCAAAAATTGTAAATCTCCAGATTGAGCCCCTCCGGCAGTTAAGGAAATGTTTGAAGAAGTTGTTGCTGAAGTCTTCCAAATTTCGTTAGCCTTTGACAATTCAGCCAATTGTTCTTGGTCAGAAGCACTGAGTTGGTGTAGAGAGGAAGCAATTGAAAACGAAGCACCGCCTTATTTTAAAAATAAATTAATTGTCTAGAACCAGAATATGTATGTACATATGCCGTATTTACTCATTTTTTAATACATCCGTGGCATGGAGAATTATTCAAGAGAGGGGAATTATTCGAGTTTCGAAATTTGAACGTGTAGTAGAGTATTTGGGGGAAGGGGTTTATTGTTTCAACTCATCCGCAGCAGGAAGAATTATTCGAGGAGGGATATTAATCGAGTAAATACAGTAAATAAACTCTAAAAAATTACTGACACAAAATTTTAAGTTTAATAATCTAACTATTTTTTGAATTAACTTCAAAAGCGAAAATCCTTTAAATTGTGTCATTAAAATTCAAATGCAAACACACAATTTTTAATTTAATTAAAGTACTTGTGTCCATTGTTTCAACAAAATTTCCAGTAGTAATAGATTGATTAATTAAAGTATTTTGTTGTTGTGTTTGTTGCTGTAATGAGATTTGACCGTTAGTGACAGACTGGAAATGTACAGGCTGCGATTGAAGAGAATTTCGAGGTGTCGAATTGTTACTACTTGTACTGTTGTTGTCCCCTCCTCCGAGATGTTTAGATGAACCTTCCAACAAATCAGTCATAACCTTTTAAGAGAGGATTATTAGTTTTAGTTTAAAAATATAATCAAGGAATTTGGGTGAGATCTACTCTCTTAAAAATTTAAATTAAATATTCACACCTTATCAACAATAGGAACATCATTTGGATATCTCCCACAATGGCAATGACACAAGCATTTACTTGGTGGTTGTACTTGTGTTTTGTCACTTTCAATTCGTTGTTCTACCAATTTAAGTAAAATATCTTTTGGAATTGAAACCATTTCTAAATATTGTGGATGAATTGGCTGTTGTTGTTGCTGTGGTTGTTGAGATGGGAATTGTTGACATTGAAGTAAATTTTGTGGTTGAGATTGGTTAGTAGATATTGAAGAAGTAATGGTTTGTTGTTGTTGAATAGAAGAAGTATTTTGTTGGGGAGGTGTACAATTATTGTTATTATTTAATTGTCCTCCTCCTGTTCCAATACTCATCTAAATTAAATGGAAAAAATAATTAAAAATTGTTAACATCAAAACTTTTTCTCTAGAATTAAGGCAAATCCTTCAAAAATATTTTTACTTAAAAATATTAGGGAGCAAACCAATGTCCGCAGCTATAACTTTGTTCAGAATTGCCGAATCCGGGACGCCCTGGTATGGTTCGATGCATCTCGACGAGCTGGATCGAACTATACCAGGGCATCTCGGATTCAACAATTCTGAACGAAATTATAGCTCGCGATACCTTGGGCTTACGGTACCTTGGGGGTACCCAAAATATTATATTCTTATTATATTCTCAATTTTCTAGAGCATTTATAAAATTACAAAAAAATTTTAAAAATTAAAGAAATTTAAGAAAGAATTTAGTCATTCAAATGGCTAATTGCCCAAAGTCTCTTCTTACAATTAACACCTACAAATAACTCTCAAAACTAATATTTAATTAACTACAAATCTTTGTAAAAATTAAAATGACCTACAATACTTGACGGTTGTTGAATTAAAATATTTCCAGTTTGTGTTGTTGTTTGTGTAATTAATTGTGGTAATACATTTGGATTTGGAGGAGGAGGAATTGGAGGTTGTTGAGGTGTTTGTTGAGGCTGTGAAGCTAAATGGGCAGCAGCTACCTCAATAAAACAATTTGGTAAAATTCCAGTTGAAGGAGTTGGAGTAACAATTTGAGAAGGAATATTTGGAGGTTGTTGGTTGTTATTTTGAATTGTTCCTGTAGAGAAAACATTGGCAACCTAAAAATATAGAAAATAGGAGTATTCAAAAATACTGTATTCCAAAATTTATCCCAAGAAAGTATTGATGTACGGGAAATACTACATATATGGGTATTCGGAAAACTGAAAAATAAAACCAGACTTAAATTAAATCCACCATAAACTCAGATCTTATTTTTATTTCGAATATTAACAAGAACTTTTTACAGCAGTTATCCTTGTAAACAACGTTTAGAATACCTACTCAAAGATATTTGCACTTTTTAAATATTTATAAATTAATTAGATAACTTTCAAGTACTCTAAAAAAGAGGAGAAACAGTAGCCAATTAAAATATCATTATAATTAAACTAATTTTCCAGGATATATTTACACAATCAAATTATGTATCACGTCAAAATTAAAAGAAAATATTTAAATAAATTACTTGTTGTAATTGTTGATTAACATTTTCATTTTGAGCATTAGTTGTACTCCCAGGTGTTAAAAATGCATTATTTGTACTTAATGACTGTTGATTTAAATGTTGCTGTTGTTGTTGTTGATGGTGATGAACAGCAGCTACATTTGCTAAAGCAGCCAACTAAAAAATTAAAAAAAAATATTTTTAAACTAAGGGGATTAGGTAGACTTGTTGTTGTTGATGTTGGGCTATTTGTTGTTGCATTTGTTGAACTTGTGCAGCAGCTACTATTTGAGCAGCCGCTTGTTGTTGAGCAACATGTTGTACTTGTTGCTGTTGCTGTAAATGATGAGCTACTGCTGCTGCAGCGGCCGCTTGTTGTTGCTAAAAATAATTAAAAGAATTTATAATTAAAAGGAGTTTGTATTTGTTCTAAATGTCTAAAATAAATATTTTACATGAGAAGCAACAATTTGTTGTTGAATAGATTCAGTTACTGTTGATGCCTGTTGTGTTGTAATATTTGTTGGATTGCCTGAAATTTGTTGTTGTTGGCTATGTTGTTGTTGCTGTTGAATTAATGCTGCAGCAACGGCAGGGGGGAGTGGATTGGAATTCTCGTTGGTTGTTGTAATCATTGTTGAAGTTGATTGATTGTTAGTATCTGGGATAAGTCCAGCAGAAACTAACAATGATGAAGGGTGTTGTTGAAGCCCTAAAAATGTATTTTTGAATTAAAAAAAGAAAATAAAGTTTTTAAAAATCAAAAAATAATTTTTAATTAGAGGGTTAATCCTGATAATCTACATATATCTCCAAAATAACTGAATCAATGGAGAAAAACTTTTTTGGATGTTTATAGGTATATAGGAGGACATGAACAAAAAATTATTGTATATCTGACTAAATGAATCACTTACGGAAATTCATTTTTACCCCATAAAAATCTAAAAAATTTACTTAATTTTTACATAAAAAATAAAAAAAAATAAAGAGGAATGTCTACATAAAGATAAAAAATAATAATCTAAAATAGTCTGTGTCTTTTAAGATAGCCACTAAATGTCATGAGTGAGGAGGCCAATCTTAAGACTGTATGAGACAAGGAGTAGTGAAGGTTGATAGGGCAAGGTGTTAAATAAAAATATAAACTAAAAATATTGCAATGGGGGAAAATCGAAGGGACAAAAAAGTAGGTAAATTGGGGAAATAGCGATAAAATAAAATATAGGTGGGGGAAGAAGAACACTAAAAATAGGAAAAAAATGGTAAAGAATAATATTTTACTTTAAACATTAACCAGTAGAGATTCCCCCCTTACAAACGATAAATACCTTTCAATGGTTCTTTGGAGGTGATTATTGTAAATTATTATTATTTAATTGACCTAATTTTTGATTTATATCATTATTTACTTTAAAAACAAAAATAAATATATCAATATTTGTGGTCAACATTGAAAGATGATTAATGAAGAACAAAACATGGGAAAGAATGGTGGGTCAACATATGCATTATTAAAAGATTTTAAATGATACCCTAAAGACCAACTATCAAAGGTGAAACTCTGATGAGTAGAAATTTATAATCCGAGATTATTTGATCTGACCTAATTAAAGGAAATTATAACTCAACTTGCACAACATTTTCACTCTGTAAAGGCAGTGTTTGTGGTTGTTGCATTGCTGCTGCTTCTTCTGCAGCGGCAGCAACAAGAGCAGCCAAAGCAGGAGGCGGTGCAGCTTGTGGTTGTTGAACATCCCCGACATGTCCCCCACCTGCTACTGTTGTGTGGATAGAAGTACTACTCCCAACAGGAACCCCAACAACCGGAGGAGGAAGTTCATCTGCAACATTAAATTGTTGTTGGGATTGTTGTTCAGGTTGTGGTTGTTGCTCCATTGGTATATCGTCAAGCTGTTGTTGTAAATGTTGTTGTTGTTGATGTGCATGATGAAGTAGAACGGCAGCGGCTGCTTGGTTAACCTGAATAATCAAATTAAAGAGATTGGGTCACAACAATTTCAATACTACCCATTTATTTCCTTTTAAAAGGGTATAATTAGCTAGTCAATTAAATAGAAAAAGCTCACAACTTGTTGAACAGCCGCAACTTGTGCAGCAGCTGCTACTTTAGCCGCAGCCATTACTTGTTCAGTACCGGTTGTTTGTGTATTCAATAATGGCGCGGCTGCTGGAGAAGTGAAGGGATTTTGTAATCCAGCCAAAGGATTAGGTGGTAAATCAGTAACTAGTGGATTGGGGACTTCTTGTTGGTGGGTTAATTGAGGTACAAGTTGTTGCTGTTGTTGCTCAGTATGTAAAGCCTCGACTTGTAACATTTCAACTCGTTGTGCTGCTTGGGTTTGTTGTTGTGTTTGAAGAAATGAAGCGGTAGTTATTTCTGATTGAAGGAGCGGTTGTTCCTTAAATTTTAATGTTGATAAATTGGATTAAGGGGATGTTTATAGATTTAATAGAAAAAGAATTTTAATATTTTTTGATTCAAATGTTAGATTTCATAAGGTTTCAATTAGAGGTTTAGGTAAGTTAAAAATATATTTCCCACCTGTTTAATACTTTTTCTCGGTTGCTGTTGAGTCAAAGCCAACTCCTGTTGATCCATCTCCGTAGAATGTTTAAGAACTGCAGCAGAACCTCCCATTTGCCCACCCAATCCAAGAGCGGCATTTACAGAAGCAACAGCCGCAGCAGCAGCCGCTCGACGTTCTCTATTTTCCTGGATTCTTTGCTTCTTTTCAAGTCTAGCTTCATCACTCATTATCCATTCTTTTTTCATTCCAACTCGAAAACATTTTTGAAGTCGACAACGTTGACAAAAACGTCGAGAAACTGTATTGATGTCACATTGCTCATTAAATGGACAACGAATTTCCTGTAAAAATTACAAGTAAAAATCCTCATTCTGGGGACGAAAAATGGTCCCAAAGAAGGTCCACTCAGTTCCAATCCCAAGGAAGATCCACCCAGTTTTCTAGGTCAGATATCCAAATAATTCAAAGGATTTCGAAAGAATCTTTCGAAAGGATCTTCCAAATTGTCGTACTCAATTCTTTGCACCTCTATTCTGTAAAAAACCCCCCAAAATTACTTTTTCTTTGTTGGCATTACGTCGAAAGAAAGCCTTGCAAGATTCGCAAGTTATCACATTAAAATTATAACTGTATGCTTTATCCCCACAAACACGACAAATTTTCGTTGCTGGACGTTTCTCCATTGGAGCAAAGTTTGTCGATGACCCGGCACATCCACCTGCTGCTGCCAAACTTATTGTCATTGTATTTGTTGTAGAAGCACAAGAAGCACTTGAAAAAGAAAATGCCCGTTTCCTCTTTGTTGATGGGCCAACAGAAGTAAATATTTCTTCTTCACATTCTTCCTCCTCTTCATCTTCCTCTTCTTCTTCATCCTGACTTGTTGGATGACCTCTATCAAATTCCTCATCGTCCATTCGTTGTGGGTAGTTTAAGTATTCAGAAGAACTAAGTTCAGTAAAATGTTGTTGTGGATGGGCTACATCATAATGATGATGGTCAGGACCTAAATTAATGTAATAGCATTAAATATTAAATTAAAGGAATCCTTGGACTCTTAAAATCGGAGCATGAACTGTCATCTTAACTGTCTTAAATTTCAGAAGATTTTCGGTTCGGTTCCGGATATCCAAAGATTTTCCTAAGAACCAACAACCCTCTAGCATTTTATGTATATATTCCAAAAACACACCAGAATAAAAATAGCTTTGAAGTTGTGAGACAGAGGAACTCACAGCTGTATTCTTCACTTGCCCAACAGGTGGCATTGAATTACAATGATCTACCAATTGAATTCTTGAATAACGATCAGAAAGTTGCCTTTCTCTATCGTCATCTTCCCCCTCTCCATCTGCACCACTATCTGGGCCTCCACTATTGTAATATTGTTTTGAATGATAACGATCTGGAGGACTTTGTTGTTGACGACCATAAGGGTGATCAAAAGACTAATAAAAAAATAAGAAAAAATATTTTTATAAAATATATTTTAAATGTACTTTATTATGTGCCACTGCAGGCATTGATGAACGACGAGGTCTACCTCGTTGACGCATTTTTAATAAAATTATTTATTGCTTATTTTTAATTGTATTTATTGTATAAGTAGTTTGTTTAAAAAGTCAAAAATCATAAATAAAACTAAAAAGAGAAACTTAATTAATTTTGGAAATTTCGTGAGTAAAAGAGAATTAAAGAGGGATAAAAAGTGAATAATAAAAAGGATAAACTAAAATTCTAAAATCTCTCGAAATTTCTAAATTTTATATTAGGTACCTGAGAAGTTTATGAGTTTTTTTTTGAAAAATGAGGACTTTAAAGAGATTTACGCATAATTAAATATTGTAGTTAATAATTATTAAAAAATTAATTATTATTATCATAATTATTATTATTATAATTATTATTAAAATTCAAATAAAGAAAATGGAATTTTCAAGTAAATCTAGGGAATTTTTATAAAGTACGAAAGTTTAATACATATGTAAAAAATAATTAAAAATAAAGGTTTAAGTAATTTATTACTAAATTAAATTATTTAGAATAAGATTATTTTTTTACATTAAATGTTAATGTATTTTATGCCTTTAATTATTTTCTTTTTTTATCAGTTTAGTACTGACATTTTGATTTTTCTTTTTGCAAACTTCCGTTAATATATTTTGTTTAGGTTCACAAAACTAAAAATAGTTTAGCCATATTAAACGGAGGAAGTAAAAGACCTCCTCTCTTAAAAGAAAGAAAGTAAACCTTCCAAACAATTTTTGTATTTAGATATTTGTTGGCAAACACAAAAAAATGACTAACAAAAATGAGAAAGAAAAAGAGGAATGTTTGAGGGTTTAGATGACGTTTAGGCGTTGGGTATTATATATAGAGACCGGCAAAATTGCACTTCCGGAATCCCGAGTCGGGATTTTTTTCTTAACCGATGCCGGGACGGGATCCCGAGCAGACCTGGGCGAAACTCCAAAATTTTTTCAGACGAAACGAAACGAAACAAAATTTTTTAAAAATCGTTTCGTTAACGAAACGAGACGAAACAGTAAAAATTTAGCGAAACGAAACGAAACAAAACGAAACATTTTAATTTTCAAAAAATTTAATAAAAACGGTTTTATTTTCTTAATTATTCGATTTTAGACACGTTATTAGGCCAGTTATGGCCTATAATTGATCTAATAGCTTAGTGGGACCTTAAATTGTGGTCCCAGGCTCGAATTATGTGTTGAGGTGTATATCAGGGACCTGCCGACCCGTTTCCTGATTCCCTAAAATAGGTAATTAACTTTGTCGGAAATTACTATCGTCTAAACCCGTTCCTGATTCCCGGCATTTTTTTAAATTTTTTAAACCCTCCAAATCCACCGATATCCCGTTTACTCTCTCCAAATTTCCTATACCACCATTGCTCCCGCCAAATCCAATGATATTTCTCAACTCAGATTTTTTTGTTGATAACAACGTTCATGATTAGGGTTGCAAAATGGACCGAATCGGACCAAAATATCGAGTCGAGCCTAAGATATTTGGCCCGAAAAGTCTCGTACTGGCCCGACTCGATAGAAACAGGCCCGAAAAAAGGCAACCATATTCATGATCATTGCCATCAGTTGCGTTTTCGTTTATTGAAACTAAACTTTATTGAAACTCTTGCGCCTGCCCTGATTGGCATTAAGAGGTAGATCGATTCTATATGCCTAATCTAGCATAGAATTCGAGCTTTGCATATTAAAAAAACAAAATCAAACGAGAAATTCAAAAAAATATAGCAAATTATGCGCCGTAGGCGCTTAAAATCCAGATTTCAGCGCCGCAGGCAAAAATTTTTTGAATTTTGATCACCAAAGGGGAATTTTTTTCAGTTTTTGGGTAATATTTGGGTCTAAAAAATGGGTAATGTTTCGTTAACGAAACAGAGGTGTTTCGTTAACAAAACGAAACGAAACAAACTAAAAAGTGTTTCGTCACGAAACGAGACGAAACAGGAAAAAACATAACGAAACTAACGAAACAACGAAACGAAACGAAACGTTTCGCCCACGTCTGATCCCGAGGGATAAATCCCGAAAGATCCCGAAAATAAAAAAATCCGGGATTTCGGGATTCCAGAAAATTCGTCGGGATCCCGTCCCGCGCCGAGTCTCTAATTGAATATTTATTAAGTAAAATTTTGTAGGAAATTTTGTGATAATGTTGACTGATTTTTAAATAAATTTAAGAAAAAATATGGCAAAATGGAAATATTTTTTTTAATTTTTAAAAGATTATGTAATTAAAAATTTTAAAGGATGCTAACACAGGGTAAATTACAAAATAAATCCAAACATTCTTTAATTATTTTTTAAAGCTACCTAGGTCCTAAACGCCCCAACGCCTTAATGACTCATTTCCTCTGAAAATGGCAGCCCGTGAAAGAAACTAAAAAAATATTTGTATTTGGTGAATGAACGCAGCAATGGATGGTCTAGTGTAAAGGAACAGTAACAAATATAATTTCGAACAAATATTTGAAGGGATGGGAGAAAACAAGAATAAATTGTAAAAATGATTTAATTTGATAAAAAGGCAAAAATATTTTATTTTAAATAAAATCAATTTAAGAATTTTGAAAGAAATGATGACATAAAAATTTTTTGAAGAAATACAAATTAAGTGCATTATTGGTATTTAATTTGTGAAATAAAATTTGGAAAAGGGATGGGAAAGGGAATTAGCAAATAAATATTTCTGGACTGCTTTCTGAGAATCTCTTCTTATTAAAACAATTTTGGATCTAAATTCGTCCAAAAATAAAATATCTTTTAGTTTAAAAATAAACCCAAAAATTTTAAGTTGAACAGAAAATATTTATTTATTTAAAATTTCAAAATTTAATAACAAAAAAATAAAAATAACCAAAAATCTAATATTTTTATTTGGGATTAAGAACAGAATGTGGACATACATAAATATTACAAATATTTATTTTTATTTCAAAATTGAAGAGAGACGAAGACAGATAAAAAAATAAAACAAAAAATAGTTTTGCCCCCACAATCACGTGATGTGGCCAAAATAATCAGTTTAGTGGAAGGGCGCAAGTGAGTACGAGAGATCGGAAATTGAGGGGAGAGGGGAGGGGAGGAGTTGTTAGACTTTGAAAAAAGATAAATAAAAATATATCCGCTCCTGCACTAAAAATATTTGTTTTTATCGTCTGCACTCAAAAATAAAGAGAAAAAAATAAAAAATAAAAAAGGTCTTTTAAGGAATGACAGCCGAAAAATAAGTGCAAAGTACATTAGAAAAAAGTAAAAAAATATTAGAAACGGCTGGCGAAAACAAATTTTTAGAATAAACACCAAAAAGCGATCTTTGATTTAATTGTATTTATTAAATGCCACAATTTTTAAAATAAATACTAGATGTAAAAATAAATTTTAAAATAATTTTTTAAAATAATTTTAAAATAAATAATTAATAAATAATTTAAAAATAAACTTAAAAAAATAATTTTAAATGTTAATTTAACTTTTACAAATATTCCAAAAATTAGGTATAATTTTTGAAATTACAATTAAAATGTCCAGACTTTCAGGAATTTTTTTTGGATTTTTGTCAATAATAATTTCAAAAATTAAAAAATATGGAAGAGTTTTATCAGTTAAATAAATATATCGAAAATTAACGTGTGACTTATGTATTTATTTAGAAAAAATTCCAACAATAAAGTAATTTTTTAAATTGTTTAAAAAGATTTTTAAAAATTAATTTTTAAAATTCTAAACAAATTTATCCAATCTAGAATTATCGAATAGAAGTAAAAATTAATGGGCGCGCGAGTGCTTGTGAACAGAACGTGGGATCAACAAAAATGATAAACGAGAAGATTGAGCGGTTAGAAAATAGGGAAAATGCGGAGATTGTTTGTATGATTGATTGGTGATATTTTGAAGGGAAGAAGAAAATATATTGGCGGAAAAAAAGTTTAGTGGAGGAAGGAAAGTGTGTGTGTGGAGTGTGGAGTATGTGAAAAGTAGGGGGTCCAAAGGTCCACCTATCCCCCCTCTCCCTATGATGGCCTTTTCCTTTGCTCCGTTAATGTTTTTCATCGATAAAAACTTGAAGAGAGATTAGGTCAGTCCAAATGGACTAAAATTGACAGGAAAGAAGTGATCCTTTGGGGGGATAACTTTAATATACAAAAAAGGGCGTAAGCCAGTTTGTAGGTATTTTGGAATTTATGTAGGGATAGATTTGGAGGTAGGTAAGGAATAAATTGTGACGATCACGTTGACTAACTTTAAGTCCTTGTACCTCTGAAAGTCTTGGTTTGGAAAGTAAATTTCCCTTCTGAAAATTTCTAAATCTACTCTTGCGGTCATGATGAATGAATTTTTTATATTTGCCATTTAAATTTAAATTATGAAAAATCGCAAAATTTTAGTAAAAATATGCAAAAATAAACAGACAATTTGTAAAAAGTGTAAATTACTGAAATGACGGGAAAAACGCCAAATATTGAGGTTTATTGAAATTTAATTTTGTTCAAAATAAAAATATCGAAAAATTAATGTCATATTAGGCTTCTTTTGATGAAATGTATTTCAATAGAAATCCGGACCCAAACAATCATTTTAAAATTCCGAATCATTATTAACCAGGGTTGTTGTCGACCGGTTTTAAAACCGAAATTTTTCGAAATTATGATTCTTTAAAGACTCCCAAAACAAAACCGGTATTTGACTAAAACTCAAAATGGTTTTTTTAATTTGGATTAATTGAAAATCAGTGATACCAGTTAATTACCAGTCGCCAACAAACACTGTATTGTTAACGTTAATTAACACAAATTTACTAGCAATAGAAGGTACAAGTAAATAAAAATATCATTAAGAATTTATTATCCTCACAATCAGCATGCTCTTTGGGCAAGTTCACGAGTTCTTAGTGGTTGTATGATGAAATATTTAATGTTATTTGGAGGGTGGAGTCGAGCGATTTAAAAACGGGAATATTAAGAGAAACAAATGAAATAGGCAAATGAAAAATAAATTTTATATTTAGGGGGGTGGCTGGTTGGTTGGTTGATGTGTACTCATTTTATTTTATTTTTTTCTTCAAAAAAATAATACAATTTCTCATTTCTTTTTTTCTTTTCCTTTCTCCAAAAACTTTATTATATTTAACTATCAAGTTTTTTTTTATTTTATTAGCTTTTTAGCAATGACTTCCCTGCTGACAAGGGAAGAGAGTTAAAGGGGGGACATGGGAAAGAGAAAGACAGGAAATCCCATTGCTGCAATCGCTGAGAGCACAACGAATACATACATTTAGTAGACAAAAAATGAACGTTTGCACTCGTGTGTTTTAGAATGATTTTAGTTAGTTTTAAGCTACTTTATTTTTTGCTAGTTTTATTATTTTTAGTTAGAAACAAATCTTAGTAGGGGAATTATTAAACTATTCACAAAATTATTTAGTGCCACATTACAATTCTTATAAAATACTGTAGAGCTGGCGAAGTTTGCCGAAAAATCCATTAAAAAATATTAGGCCTTTAATTAAAATAATTTACTGTATGTAACAATAATGTGTACACTTGGGTAAATTTTAAAAATTTATTTAAAGTTCTTTTCTTCTTCTTCATTATTACTAATTTTCGATTCGTTTACAGATTCTTTACTTTCTCCTTGAAATTCCATTTCCAACTTTTCCAAAGATTTTCCACGTGTTTCGGGTATAAAAATTAAAACAAAAATGCCAACAATACAACAAAGAATAACCAAAATAACAAAAGTTATCGAATAACCAAAAGCATCAACTGCCATAGGGAAAAGTAGACTTGTTAAGAAATTATTCATCCAAGCAAACCAAAGACTTATACCAACACCGAGTCCACGAACACGTAAAGGGAAAATTTCTGTTAAGAGAAGACTGCCTACAGTCATCTTAAATTAAAATTTTTAAATTGAAGATTGGGGAGAGGAGGGGGGGGTAAATCTATTTTGAATTAAAAAAGGTTATTTTGCCTAAATATAAGTACATATGTATGAATGGGGCCAATCGGTATATATTTGTTTAGCCCATTGTAAAGAAAAACACAACTCGCTAGCATTTAGAACGCTTAAGCGTGGATTAAAGATCTATTAAAAGAGAAAATGGAAGTATTGCTCCAGTAGCTCATTCGACATGGATTTAGTACTTCTCCCTTGCCCGAAAGTTTTGATTCTTACGCTATTATAGGCTCAAAATTTTCTTTACTAAGTGGATCTTTACAAATCATCTTTCGCTTAATTTGAATAAAAAAGAATTTAATTTTCAAAAATTTACAATAGCTCCCTGTTGTAACATTAAAAATGCAAGCATAGAAGATAAAATAAGCCATCCTTTAAGGGGACCATTTGTTAATAGAAAACAAAAAAGAACTGTTGTTGTGTGGGGAATAACAGAGCCAAATACGCCAAATAAATATAATGGTCTGCGCGGTACTTTACTAATTAACCAAAGTCCTACAGCTGAGGCAACAAGTGAAATTAACTGAAAAATATTTTAGGATATTCTCTAATAAAAATATTTTTAAGTTTGTATTTAAAATCATGGGTAAAATTGAACTTAGATCCCCCTTTTTTATTTTCTCAAAATATTAATGATCTTCAAGCTTAAAATGTGGTACAAACATTACTTTGTGGCTATAAGTCCAGTTCTGCTTTTTAGAAGCAATGCCAAGTGTATGGGGAGCGGGATATGAACAAAATACCATTTTTTCACCGCCGTTAATGAAAACTAATGGAATCATGTATTAATAATTATAATTACCCCATTAATTGTATTTCCAAGTAAAGCAGCATCAGTATCCCCTCCATTATTATCTCGAAGCATTAAAGTAGCATAATACATAATAATACCCCCGCCCTCTGCTGCCAAACTTAAACCAATTCCAATACCTATTAAAAGGCTTCTACGAAACCATGACAAGCCAAGCATTTCAATAAAAACAGAAAATCCTCCTTCAACTTTTCCTTCCTCCAATTTTTTTATTTTTTCAATTTCTGCTAATTCAGCATCTGCTTCCTCAGATTTAAAACGAATTTTGTGTAAAATTATTTTCGCCTCAGAGTTTTTGCCAACAGAAACTAGCCAACGAGGACTTTCTGGCATTAACCAAAAAATTAAGGCTAATTCAAAAATTGCTGGCAAAATACTTAAAATACACATCCAACGCCATATACTTGATCTAAAATTTGTTTTTAAATTTTATTTCTTTAATTTTTAATGTAAAATCCCTCGTTTTTCAGTTAATCTTGTTATATAACTTGAGGGCATACGTATAAGAAATATTTTTAATCTTGTTATGGCGACAAAAATGGTACTTCGGTAATCAATTCCAACGGAAATCAAAATGGTGATCAATTCCAAAAATTAATTTCGCAAAGATTCCCAAAAACCCCTAACTCTTCAGGCAATTAACTATTATAAATAATATTTTATTCAAAAAAGATTTACTCTTCATTCCAAAGAATTCCCAAAACGGCATTGGCAATGAAAGCACCAAATTCTCCAACCATAATTAAAAGAAAACTTCGAGTTACCATTCTTGCTCTACATTCGGGGGTTGAAAATTCTGCTAATAAAACGCTAACAACCGAAGAAAAACCTCCAATAGTTAAACCAAGCATTATTCTAAAACCAATTAAACACTGAAAAATAAGGAAAAGATTTTGGACATTTGCGAATTTTAGAAAATATTTTTAAATTAAATATAGGTAAAGAGGTAATTTTTAAGCTATTTATCTTGTTTCCTATTGAGATGTTAAATATATTCAAACGTTTTCTATTTTTTAAATTTAAAATTTTACTTCAGCATTAGGTGAGAGAGAATAACACAAAGTTCCAATCATAAAGAATAGAGTATTTCCCATCAAAGTAATCTTTCTACCAAAAATATCAGCTAATCTTCCAGCAAAAAGAGAACCAAAAGCACTTCCAATTAATAACGAGGAAGTAACTAAACCAATAATTGCTGGTGATAATTGTAAATCATCGACCATAAACGGCAATGCCCCGTTAATTACACCTTTATTTTGATTTGAAATTCAGGAAATTAAACAGTTAGACTTCACTATAAAATACAGTATGGGGCCGAAAATATTGCATCTAAGATCTACTATATCCATTTGTTGTGTTATCACTAGAAACTAAGGTTGTTCCCCGGAGGTCGGGGAACAACCTTAGTTATCACCTAGGCAGCCTACATCCCCTCCCTCCCTCTCTCCTCAAGTGACCAGCAAATCTCTTAAAACCCGCAACCCAAAAAGAGGTTTATCTAATAATTGTTGTATCTTATACTTACAGTCTGACTATATTTTAATAAAAATATTTAATAATTTATTAACATACCAGTACTATAACCAAGTAGGAAACTACAAAAAGCACATATCCAAGCTACTTTATTTAAGTAAGGATTTACTTGTGGGCCAGTCTGTAAATTAAACAGAATTTAAAATGTCTTAAAAGACTTGTTCTTAATTTTTTGAGTTAAATTTCCTTACTAAACTTTCTATTCTAACTAATATTTATTAATTAATTAATATTTAATTAATTTTTTTTAACCTTTTGTGTTATTTCTAACTCTAAATCTTTTTCTGATTTTGTTTCTTTTTCTTCTTCTAATTTTGTTTCATTTAAATTTTCTTGAATATTTTGTTTCTCATTTTGTGGCGGAATTAATATTTTTAAATTATTGTTAGAATTACAAGAATTATCAGAATTTAATGTATTATTGTTTAGTTCAGTCATTTTACTTTAAATGAAATAATTTTGAATACTTGACTAAATAAATATTTATTTAGTTAAATATATAAATACAAGATTTAAATATAATGTCATAAGTTAATATGTAATAATCAAAATTATTATAAAAATTTATAGAGGTGAAAATACAAAAAATATACTTATTAACATAATATATTTTTTCAACAATTTTAGTGATCGAAGTTCTCTTACTATTTTCTGCCAAAATACATAATTTTAATTTTTTTTTGTATTTATTTTCTGCTAAAAATGTGGAAATGTCGGGAAATATATAAAAATATTTTTATTGGAAATTTTAAAATTAAAAATAGGTATTTTATAGTTTTTAAGCTAAAAAAGTTTTTTTGCAAAAAAATTAAATAAAATTGTTTACGAATATTTTTTGGCTTAAAAAATAAATTAAAAAGAATTTTTTAAAAAGAAATTTTAAAAAGAAAATAATTTAAATTTTTTATTTTTGAGTTAAAAATTAAAATATTTTTTAAAAATATTAAATGACAAAAAATATTATCTTATATTTTTTTTCACTATAATAATAAAGTGCATGTATATTTATGTTATTAAAAAAAGTTGAAAAATATGTAATTTTTATTTAAGATTTACATAATTTTCTAAAATAATTTAAACTAAAAATGTTTATTTAAAAATAATCTAAATACAAAAATTTATCTCAATTGATTTCACGTGAAAAAATACATAAATTTTAAAGTTTGTAAAAAATATTGAAGTGTACAAATAAATATTTTTTAAAATAAAAAATATAAAAATTAGTTTGAAGAATAAATGAAGAACTTTAGTTATTTGAAATTTAATACTTAAAAATTATAAAAATATTGTTTTGAATTTTTGTTTTTATTTTGCTCTTATCAGCGAGCCGTACAAGTATCTTTCCTAACTCCGAAAATAAATTTTAAAAAATCAAAAATTTTATGATTTTCTGAGCCGGAAACATCAAAAATTAGTTAAACATAAAAATCACCCTTCGGTTCTGATCGTTTTATTACTGAAACACTCAGCAGAGTCAGATTTTCAGACATAAAAATTTTTTTAAATTTATTCTATGAACAACTATGTATGTACATATAAGGTATAAAAGATAAACTAATATTATTAAAGAATAATTTCCAAGATAAAATATATTTAATTTTTATTAAATTCTATTCTTGGACCAATTGGGGATTTATGTGAAGCCAAAATAAAATCAGGCAACTCGTCTGGCCAAAAAATTTTATCATTTTCTTTTCTGTTAAATATTTCCAGTCCCGCCCACGCAATCTAAAAAAAATATTTTTCTTAAAAAATATTTAATTTAAATTTACCATAACCCCATTATCTGTGCAAAAATGTGGTGGAGGTACTAAAACTGTAAAATTGTGAGAATTGGAAATTTCTGAAATTTGTTGAAAAATATATTTATTTGAAGCAACACCTCCAGCCAAAATTAAATATTTTTTTAGAAGATTTGTAAATTCAGGAAATGAAGAAATTAAAGGCAAAATCAAATTTAAATGTTGACAAATATATTCAGCAATTGTGTGCTTAAATTTAAAAATTTAAATTAATTTTTAGTTAGGCTATATTCATAAAATCCAAAACAAAAAATCTTTCCAATCTCAAAATTTTCAAAAAATATTTGGAGAAATCCGTCCCTTATTTGTCTTCATGCAATTTTATTTTCCGTGACATTTTTCTCTTAAATTCTTATGAGGCCAAAATATTTCTCTCAAAAACTTTTCTTTACTTGAATTGCAGCACATAAATCAACAATTTCATCATTTTTGTTGTTCTTTAATTTATCTCTAATTATTCTTAGATAACGCCCTTTAATTAAATCAAAATCCAAATCTTGAGATATATCCGCCTTTGGAAGTGTTAAAGTGTAATGGGGTTTATCTAGATTTTCTTTTATGTAACTAAATTGAGTTTTTAAATTATTAAATAATTATTCTATTTCACCTCTTTGCAATTTGTTCTAGCGCAACTCCAAAATGCCCTGATAGATTAAAAAAATAAAAGTTTAAGTTTAAGGAAAAATAATTTAATCTGATTTAAATCCAAATTTATTATTGCAAGGATGTAATACAGAAATGGAATGAGACCAGGGATGCCTCCTTTTTTGCCCCCTTTTTGGTTGATTTCGCCCCCTTTTTGGGAGGCTATGCCCCCTTTTGGTGATTTGTAAAGGGACACCCTGAATGAGACTCCTCCTCCAAGTATTAAATCATTTACTTTTACCATTTAACTGTTGTAAGCCTAATTCTCTAGCTAATTTATCCAAACATTCTCCAGGACTTCCACTCTTCGTATCCAACAAAATTTTGAAGTCTACAGGGCTATAAACAATACAAAGAATACAATGGCCACCAGAAATAAGAAGAGAAATAAAAGGATAATTTAATTCAGAAAATAATAAACGAGCGATTAAAGCGTGAGCACGCATGTGATGAATTGGTATAAGTGGGCGATAATATTTTCTATAGAAAATTAGAAACGAATTATTTTTTAAAAATATTTCCAAGAATTAACGCAATAATAAGTCCTTCTACTATTAATTATCAGAAATGACCCTTCAAGATATCACCCGGTACCTCATAAATCTGGGCCAGTTATTTAATATAATTTCGATATTTAAACTACAAAACAAATTAAAATATTAAAAACCTAGCAAAACAAATAGCATGTTCTATCCCAACTTTTAAACTGTTAACCAGCCCTGGCCTATTAGTTACAGCAACAACGTCTACATCATAAGCTCGTAATTTACACTCGGCAAGAGCATCACATATTAGCCGGGGAAGTGCTTCTCTATGCTATTTAAATTAAATTTTCTTAGCTCACTTTAATAAAATTCAAAAACCCCCTTACATGCCTTGCCGAAGAATGAGGGCAAATTCCTCCCATTCGAGAGTTTGTCTTTAAATCAGAACTTCGAATATCACAAAGTATTCTCCTTTTTTCTTGACAAATAATCGAAATAGCAGCATCGTCACAACTTTATTTTAAATAATTTTTAAAAATATTTTTGGGGAAAGAAACCTTGATTCAATACCCAAAATATGCAAATTTTGTTTAAATTTGAAACGAAAATGAAGGTATTCAGAAACTAATCTTTTTAAAATAAAATTATTCTTGAACATAAAAATATTTTTAAAAATTCAGAGTAATTAACCTTTTAGGTAAGTGAATAAAAAAATTAAAATAATTTTAGGAAATTTAAGTAAATAGAAATATGTATAGTCAATTAATAATTTAATTAATTTGCACCAAAAATTTATCCAAATATTTTATATAAATTAAGAACTAAGAACAAAATTGAAGGATGGCGTAGACATTAAGGTTTGTTTTTGGATATTTTTTTAGATAAGGGGCCCAGTAAATAACAGCTTTTGTTAAGACAAAAACGTGTCCAGAAATTTGAGGAGTGAGATTCGGGGAGTGAGCGGACATTTGGCACAAAAGCACCTTCACGAACGTATAATTTTTATTTGTCCAAAAATTATTTTTAAATTATTTTTTAATCCTATGTCAGTCCCCAAATCTCCAGGAGCCGTCAAAAATAATTAGGTAATAATTTAACATCTAAATCAATACCAAATTATTTTGGTCATTTAAACTCAAATTCTACTACGCCTAGTGGAATAATGACAAATAATAGGGAATGAAAAACAAATTTCAAAAAACAAAATAAAGCAAAAAATGCAGGTAAAACAAAAAAGTAAACCTTAAACAACTAAAAACATATTTATATTTAATTTACGTCAAGCAAAGAGCACCGCTAACTTCAATTAAAAAACTTTCAAATTTAATTTGAAAATTTCGTTTCTTTGAAGCTGTAAAATTCCTAGGAGTTGCTTCATCGTCTGAAGATGTTGTTAAGAGCTTTGTAAATGCCTGTTCTAATGCAGATTTATTTTCAATGTTTGAAGGAAGTGAAAGAAGTTGATTTAAATAAGCTTTGAAGGAATCCTAAAAAGTTTAAAATATTTTTAAATCTGAAAATAATTTTTGGCTAGAGGGATATTATACTGGAGCAAGGGCGTATCTCTGGGGCTATAGCCTCCCACTGAAATGCCGAGAAGAGAAAAATATTGTGAGAAAGATGTAGGAAACATAAAATTCCTTCGCTTACAACCTTCAAAATTTTCAGTTTCGCCTGCAGTCCCCTGAAATCGACCCCTGGGCTACTCGCTTGTATTGGAGAACGAGGAAAAAAGATTTAGAGTACATAAATTACAAGAGATAATGGATCTAACCGAAACTAAGAAAGTTAAAGCAAGAAAAATAATCTCAAAAAAATAACCTGATTTAGTCCAATTAAATTAAAAAGAGTGCTTGTTGCTTCATTAAAAATTTCAAGTTCACAACTAAATTGCATTGCCAATTCAAATATTTTCTAAAATAATAATTTAAACAAAAAATACAAATTTTTAAAATAACCGGAATAAATTTCAGAATATTTTCTGCCAATAATGGGCTGACTTGTTGCCCTTTCTGAATTTGTAATAAGCAATGAGAAGCAAAATTGTTAACAATTTCTAATGCAGAGCGAACACGTTCAATACCAAAAGTATTGTCTAAAGCTGATTGAACACATCCAAGAAATCCATTAAGCATTTGTTCAGAGACTTGAACAATAGCTTCAGGAGCAATATCAGAAATGAAAATGAGTAAACGGAAGAAAGAAGTACAAAGTAAAGGAATTTTTAATAAATCTTCGCTCATCATTGGCAATAAAATTTCAAGGCCTTGAGAAATCAAAAGTTAATTCATTTTAAATTTAAAAATAAGTTTACCGTGAAGGGAAACTTTTGCCGAATCTATAGCAGAAGCTTCTGACAAATCCAAAGGAAGGTAAGTTTTAGTTATAGCCAAACATAGAATTTCAATAAAAGTTGTCAAATCTTGAGTTTGTTGTTCATCATCTGTTGCATTCTCAAAAGAAGCAAATCTCTGAAGTTGAGTATCCTAAAAGAAAAATTAAAGGAGAATAAGAGAAAATTTTTGGTAATAAAGCAAAGTGTGCTCAAACAGAAAAAATTGAAACGATTACCCAGGGGGTTGTAGCACCCAATTCGCTGAAATGGGGGAAAGGCAAAAATACGTGGGGATCAGAAAATTTTTTCTCTTACAGTGTTGGGCAAGAAAAATTTGTACACAAAAAGCAAGGGTTTAGCTCACATCTAATATGAAAAATGTTAACCTTGTAAGCATTAATAACACCAATTAATAAATTATGATATGACTGAATATCTTCTTTTGATTCAACTTAAATTTAAATGTTTAAAAAAATAATTTAAAAATAAAAACCGTAAAAGAAAAGAACATCAGTATTTGATTTTAAAAAGGCCAAAATAGAAACAATTAATGGTTGAGATTGAGAACAGGTCCTAATTAATGGAATACAACGTTCATAAACTGGTTGAAGAAATTCTATAAATATTCAAAAAAATTATTAAACTAAATTACAAAACAAACTAAATAAAGTTCGAGCAGTATCTGCTTGTCCAGCATCTGCAATACCAGTAAAACACTCAAAAAGATCAGTTAAACGAGAATTGACAATTGAGTCTCTAGCCTCACAAAGAGCCAAAAAGCGTTGAATTAATGGCTCAAGTATCTAAAAAATTGAATAAATTATTTGTTTCAATTGAATCCAAAAATGGCACAAAATTTCTACATTATAGAAAAGATTTTTATAGAAATTTCCCGCAGTTTCAAATTTAAAAATCTACCGTTTCATGAATCCGTTGCCTCAAAATTGGTAATTCAAGCATTCCACCCATTAAAACAATTGCTTTAACAAATTGACGTCGAGCAGGTAGATTTGCTAAAAAACCAGAATTTATATATCTTAAATATTATTAAAATATTCATACAAAAATCAATCCCACTGAACAAAGAATATAAATTCTCATTTTCTGCCAATTCAAGTGGCCGATATTCAGCTAGACTTATAAGTAATTTTATAACATCAGAACATAACCTGATAAAATTTTATAAATTTATAAAATAAAACTAAAAAAACCTCTTTTCTCCAGGCATTTTAGTTAAAATTGTAAACATTTTTTCCAAAGACATTTGAATTATTTGAGCTGATAGAGCACTTTTTGGAGGAATTGAAGGTAAGTATTTAACAGATATTCTTGATTGATCTTCTCCCCAATTATCTTCTTCACTTTCTTTTGCAAAAGAAGAATCTTCCTCAAGTGGAGAACTTGGAGGGGATAGAACAATCATTAAAAGTGAAAATTGCCAAAGAGAAGTTTGACATAATGTTGGACTTAACAAGGAAGCATTTGGGTCCAATTTAATAAGCATTTGATGTTCCAAAGAAAACCAGCTTAGAATTTGTGTTGAAATCCTAAAAAAAATTTTTAATAAGTACAGACTTCCATCTAATTGGATAATTATAACAAATATTAGAGAGAAGCTAAAGTCTTCTAAAAAAATAAAATAGAATAGGAAATTATCACAATTAATATGTATTTATGAAAAAATTACAAGGTAACAGGATCCAATCTTCCTGGATAATTTGCAGGATTAAATGGCGGGTTATCAATACAATTTTGGAAAATAGGCGAAAAATCATCAAATTTTGTAAATTCCCCAGATTGATATCCTTTCAGACCTTAAAAATAAAAAATAATTAAAAATATTTAAAAAATAAAAAACATTTTAAAGCCAATTCTTCAGGAATATTTCCAATATAACTATACGAGTTATGACGCATAAAATGACCTTTAATTGGAAGAAATTTAAAACAAAAAATTAATTAAATCACCAATTATAAGTAAAATCCAATGAAAGTCTTCTTGCCAAATTTCCAATTGTTTTGAATCAACAGTTTGCAAATTTAATGAGGTTAATTCGACCAGACGTTGAACAATTGCACTAAATTATTTAAATTTAAATGATAAATTAAATTAAAACCGTGTCACAAAATCAACAAAATAATCTATAGAATATAAACAAAAAAATCCAATATCACAAAGTATATCCATAAACACAATTCTGTCGTCTTCTTCATCCTCGTTTTCATCATAAATTTCACCGGACGTTGGCTAAAAATTTTTGATATTTATTATCGATTTTATAAAAATTAAGGGAACTTTTTTTAAATATTTTAGCTCCTTTTACACCGCAAGCTATAATTATAAAAATTTCATAGGGCCAGTCACAAATTTTCATTTTGTGATTACTCTCTCCCATAAAGTTTAAATATTTCCACATTTAGGAAGAGATACTATTTCTCTTAAACTACTTTTCCTATTAAAAAATCCCACCTTTTCACGATTTCCAAATGGCGGTGAAAGCACTGACTTAATAAAAGTCTCAATAATAGCAACATTATGGGATTCAATCAGAACCGAAATATTTTCTTTAAAAATATGGGCTGAACGGAGAAGTGGGCGCCAAACTTGGAAAAGATTGCCCAATGCTGAGCTGTATGTCTGGTCATTTTTCTGAATTAAGAGATAAATTTTTAGTTAAAAATAAAATGAAAAACCATTGCTAAAAATATTGTAGGTTGTGTAAGTTTTAAAATATTTTTTGCAACAAAATCAACAAAACGATGCAACAATTCATCAGGAAAACGTTCAAAAATCAAAATTGGATGGCAAGTGAATAATTTGTAAATAACCAGACTAAGTGAAACCATTTCGTGATCAAGTACCATACTGAAAAATTATTTGATTAAAATTTTAAAGTTTAATAAACTCGAAGCGTGAAAGCAATTTAGCCCAAAAAACAAGGGAGTAATCTAATGTCATAAATTATAAACCACTTACTCAGAAAATAAATCAATCATTTGACTAGCAAACGTCTGAACATATAGGTCATGTAGAATTGGTTTTCTACTAGATACTGGTTCATCTATACCACCCATAACAGTTGCCAGCCGTCGTTCACCCAAGTTGCCAACTAAAGGCATGACAACAGCAATTGGTCCAGAAGGTCCAAGAGCATCACCAATAAGAGAGGCTAGCTGGGTTAAACAAACCATTGAATTTTCACAAAGTCTTTCATTAAAACGAATTCGAGAGTGCATCTAATAATTAAAAATGAATAAAAAATTAAAAATATTAAGAAAATAATGCAAAAAAACCTGCATAAAGAAAGTAATTATTGAAGTATCTTTAAACAATTCATGCCAAGATTCTGGTGGTCGAAAAGTGTTAGACCGAAGGGCTGATATAATTACTTTAAAATGTAAATATAAATATTTTGGAGAAAAATTCCAGCAGAAAATTAAAGAAGCAACTCTTAAGAATTTGTCACAAATTTGTTGTTCAATAATTGAATTGAGATCGGGAGAGGTTGACAAAAGATTAGAAAGTGTACGAAGAGAAAGTTGCATAAGTTGTTTGAGTAAAACATCCTAAAAAGAAATAAAATTTGAAAGAGAGAAAACAAAACAAAAATATAAAAAATACTTAAGATTAGAGTGCGGACGGGACAGGATCCCGAACGGAATTTTACGGGATCCTGTCCCAAAATCCCGTAATTTAAGCAACGAACAGGATTATCGAAATTAATCCCGCAGGATCCTGTCCCGTAAAAATTTTGAAAAAATCCCGTTACGGCATCACGGGAATGCGATTTTTCGCACTCACTTAAGATTTAAAAAATAAAAAAAAATAAAAATTATAAAATCAGTATTTTTGCTGAAAAATCAATTACAAAAATTATATTATAACCCGTAAAAGTTAACTAATCAAAATTTAAGAAGTATTTAAAGAAACCAAAAAATAAAAATTTAAAAAACCTCAAACTGTTTCTTCGCATTTAAATGAAAATCCCAAGTTATAGATATATTTGAAGAACGCCAAATAGTAGAAAATTCAGTGGCGACTAATTCAATTATTTGTAAACCAAAAGATTGCTAACAAGGGAACATTCCGAACTGTCAGTAAAAATTTCCAAATAAAAATTATACCATCGTGTAGAGCGTGGTCGAAAACGTATTATGGTTACTTTCTTTTTTGGCTCCGACCCTCATTTCGAAAAGTTATAGGGGTTCAAAGTTTCCTACTTTTGGAACGGTTGAGTCGCCCTCACTACTTTTATTAAAGAAAATTTTTCTCCTCCATAAGAGAAAAATAAGACTCGCATCCTCCTTTTTCCTTTCCTTTTCTTTTCCAACACTAGTTAGTGAAAGAGAAAAGGGGGAGAGAAAAGAAAAGGAAAAGAGGCGTCTCTGCCTTGCAGCTAATGTCAATTAAAAAGGAAAGAGGAGAGGGCAGAGATGCCTCTTTTCCTTTTCTTTTCTCTCCTCTTTTCTTCTTTCTTTAACCAGCACAGGAAAAGAAGAGGAAAGAAATAAAAGAGAAAAGGAGTCTCATTTTTCCCTTTAGGAAGAGAAATAATAAGAAAAGTGAGGGCGACTCAACCGTTCCAAAAGTAGGAAACTTTGAACCCCTATAACTTTTCGAAATGGGGGTCGGAGCCAAAAAAGAAAGTAACCATAATACGTTTTCGACCACGCTCTACACGATGGTATAATTTTTATTTGGAAATTTTTACTGACAGTTCGGAATGTTCCCTTGTAAGATAGAAAATACTAAAATAAATTAAAAAATATGAAAAACCAATTTTTGATTTTCATTATTAAAAAAAGTTTCCAAAATTGAAAGTAAATCGGCAAAAGTATTTTCATGAGCAACTAAACTATTTCTTTTTATAATCATTGCAGCTATAAATTTATTAAATTTTATAAAAAATAAAAAAGTTTTTTATTTTAGACCTGAATGAAACATTTCTGTTGAAACAAAATTTGGAAGACTAAAAAAGAATTTTTTATAAAAAAAATAATAAATTAAAAGGAAACATTTTCTAATTAAAATTAAACGGTAATATTGGACCGGACAGACCCCCTTTTTTCATCCCCAATTTTCCCCTATATTTTCCTCCTTTTACTTGTTTTTGGCAGGTACTTGGACTTGCATAAAATTAAATAATCCTTTTTGTTTGATTATAGGCAAAAATTAGAAAAGCAATTTGGACCATTTTGCAAAAATATAGGGGAAAAATTGGGGAGGAAAAAAGGAGGTCTGTCCGGTTCAATAGCACCAATTAACTAAAGAAAAATCTTAAAATTAAAAAAAAACAAACTCTTGATGGACTACAGGGAAATTCAATAGATATAAAGCAATATTGCGTATGTCTTCCTGATTAAATTTAGTCCATTCCTTCAACATCCTTGCAACAAGTGAACGAGCCAATTCAAACATTAAAAAGTGATTTTGTGTAGTTTCTAAAATTTGTCTGCAAGAATCGACGGAAAGAGCTCCCTCACGCAATCTCATAAAAAAAGCTTCAGCATCTTTTCTATCTTGAAAACTGACTTGGCTTGGTGGAGCCTAAAAAATATATACAAATTAATAAAATAAAAATTATGAGTAAAATTACCATGATTAAATGAGCAGCTAACTCTAATTTTGAAATATCTTCCATTTTTAAATATTAGAAATGAATTCTAAAAATAATAGAACGTCCAAATCTGAATTTTACAAAGCGTGAAATTAGCTGAAAAAATACCCAAGTGTTTGGAAATATTCGCAAGGGCAAAACTCGTTAGGGCCACATAAGCGCAACTATGTTAACACAAAAAGATAAGAGGGATGACTAATACAAGTGAGGAATTTTACGAGAAATTTTACAAGAGGCATTAAGGCAGAGAGGATCGGATTATGCTAGTATTTAAGCATTGATCACAAATGACTGAAAATGACTCCAAATCCCCTAAAGCCCAAGACTAGTTTTGTTGTTCGTTAAAATCTCATTTTTAAGGTATCTAAAGATAAGGCAAAGTTTTAAAACTTTTCTATCTTTCAAAAAAATTTTGAGCAAAAGTTTTTATCAATTCATAAAAATTCATCAATTGTATCGACAGGAAAATAAATTTTTTTCATCAATTATAGGGTCAAAAAAAATTATTTTTAAATAAAACAAAATTATACGCATTCAAAAAAATTTTCTTTTCATCAAATCATTTAAAGCTTAAGGAAGTACCACACTCATTCTTCTTTTCTTCATCAACTGGTTCAAGTCTTCCCGTTTTTGTTGTACTAACCATATTTGTTGCTTGCAAATTACTTTAATGTATCGGACGAAACAAGTGATGAGACAAATGAGGAATCCAAAAATGAGTCACGCCGTTTATAGTTGACATTCTTTTTGGGAGTAATCAAACCCTTCTGCTCTTCAAAAAGTTTTTTAGGCGGAGGGATGTAAACAAGATTTTCATTCAATTCAGAACCTAAAAGCTTGCGTTTTGGAGTTTTTCCTAAATTTTAAATTTCAAAATTGAGACATTTTTTAAATTAACCTGAAGACTGAATTTGAACAAATTCCTTTTCAACAAAATTCTCCATCTTTTGTGTAGTGTTGTCAAATAATTGTGACATATCTGATGAATATGACGCACCATCATTAACCTAATTTTTTTGTTATTATGCAAATTTAAAATTCTTTTATGAACCTGTTTAATGATTGTTGACAATGTGCTGTGAATAGCCTTTCCGAATTCATTTTTATGTTCAGTCGCAACATTTTTAAAAGAATCCAATTCTTGATTTACGCGATCACGGAAATCTTGGGTAAACTGGAAAATGTGATAAAAAGATAATTAAAAATATTTTACAAAAAATTTACCTTTGCAAAATTTTGCTCAAATTTATCAGAAATCTCGTTCAACGCACAAACAGCTGTTTTTGCCTCGTTCAGTTGCGCTTCTGACTTGTTAGTGAAGCTTGTAAGTTGATTTCTTCCAATTTCAAATTGTTTGTATTGACCATCAAACAGCTATTTCAGTTTTTGGTAGTTTCCATCGAATGTTGTCAACTTAAAGTATTTTATAATTTTAAACAAAATCGAAAATTTAAGGAAGAAACTAACCACTTCATCGATCTTGCTAAAAAGCAATCCGTTTCGGTCATACAGTCCATTACCATAAATTTGCAACTTAAAAACAGAGGAATCATAAGAAACTGAAAGAGCCTGTGAAGCAGCGTTGTAATTATCCTCCATTTGAGCGATTTCCTTTAATAAAACTTTTTATTGGACTTCAAAAAATAATTACCAGGCTTAATTCTTCAATTTCTTCCTTTCTGCCTTCCAATTTAGTCAATGCAGTTCGAAATTTGTCATAAATTGACTTGTAATGTTGATCCATGACAGCAAAATCTCCAACCAACTTAAATTTTTAAAAGCAATTAGTGATATAAAGTCAAAAAATTTACAATTTGAACTTGGCGATCCTTTTCCTCAAGTTGCGTCTCCAATTCCACCACCTTTGCCTTATTCTGACTTATTGTTCCAATCATTTCACTAAAAATAAATTTATTATAATGAAGATTTAAAAAATCCACATACTCATAATTCTCCTTATCCAAATAAATTCCATGTTTCTCCCTAGCAGCGGAAGATCACGACGAAGGCGATCTATTTTATCATTGTATTCTTTGAGAAGGCCACGTCGCGTGATTCGCTGGTTGACTTCTGGATTGTTCTTGATGTTTTTAGCTCTTTGAGCATAATCCAAAGTGCTGACAGATTCCTGAAATTTATTTGAATTTTGATTTTATCAAAATCTAATAAACCTCAAAGTTTGACGAAACTGGAGATATTGTTGCAATGATGGTTGTAATTGTCTTGCCACCCAAAGAATCTTGTAAAATACGTGTCAGTTTGCTTTCGCGATAAGGAATGTGTGAAGCACCCATAGTCAATGCAGTGATTACACGTCCAAGTGCCAACAAACTTGTATTTTCAGAACCGGCAAGATCCACTAAATTAAGTTTTCCTTGTCGAATCATTTTTTCGCCATTTCCAAGGCCAGGGTCTCGAATCTAATTTAATTTACTAAATTTGAAAATTTTTTTTAGAAAACTCACAATAACAGAAACAGTGAAGACAGAATGAGAACGGCTAAAATTAACAAAAATATGAATGAACATAATTATAAAAAAACCTAGAAGTGATGTTCATAAGGGTTGCAGCTGTACGACGCTTCTTAGCTCCATCTCTAAGCAATTCATACGCATCCGTTGCTGAGCGGACAATCACCTCTTCAGCACCAGCAATTGATACTCCCTTCAAAACAATGAAATTTAATCATGTTTTTTCAAATTAAAAATAAACCTTAGTTTTATCATCAAAAATTCTTAATGATTCCAATTGTGATTCAGTCAAAACACTGATTGTTTTGACTGAATTTGACTGAAAAAATTAATGACATCCTTCATTAATGGAGCAAGAACGCCCTCGTAAACATCCACTTGGGTAGATTCTGGGCCAAAAATCTAAAAAGAAATATTTGAAATTATTAAAAAAACAAGTTAAAAACCTTATCATAAGGTCCAAAACATTTTTGTCCTTGACCGAATCGTGAAGAGTCATTAAGCGAAACAGTCCTTGCTACACGGTCACACGAAACAATGTCCTTGGAATAAACCTTGGCTAAAGTGCACTTTAGTAACGTGATCTAAAAATCGATGATTTATATGTCATTCGAAAGAGCTCGGCGAGCTGAGTCGAATGACACCAAAATTATTCCGCGGAAAAAATTCTGAGCCGAGTTACAGACTCCTAAAATTCAAAAACCATAGGGGGGACCAAGCTGTTTTCTGTGGGTGAAAAATTCGAATATACAAATAATAGCTCATTCGAAAGAGCTCGTCAAGCTGAGTCGAATGACACCAAAATCAGACGTGATTTGACAAAGTTATGACCATTTGTTTTTATCCCCTACATAGGGCCTACGCGGAAAAAAGTTTTTGCCGCTGCGGAGGAAGCCGTGCATGTCGAGCGGAACGACGGCACGGCCATCGTGTAGCGAAGACCATGCCCGGCCTACCCTCCGTAGCAGCACAAAAACAGTTTTTCCAGCGAAGATTCTGTTGGTCATAACTTTGTTCATAATCATCCTATCGAGTTGATTTTGGTGTCATTCGAATCAGCTCGTTGAGCCCTTTCGAATGAGCTATCATTTGTATATTCGAATTTTTTATTCCCAAAAAAGTGCTTGATCCCCCCTATGATTTTTTGATTTTTGGGGACCTATATCTCGGCCCCCAATTGAGTCCGCGGAATAATTTTGGTGTCATTCGACTCAGCTCACCGAGCTCTTTCGAATGACATATAAATCATCGATTTTTAGATCACGTTACTAAAGTGCACTTAGGCCTAAACCTTCTCATTATTGCTCAACGATCTTAAAAAAGGTTTATAATTTTGCATCAAATTTCAAACTTAAAACCTGATTCTAACAGCAACTTGAACATTTTTTCTTTTAGTAAGTTCCATTGGGTCAATAAAAAAAATTTTTTAAGTAAAAAAAATTTTTTAAGTAAAAAAAATTTTTTTAAGTGTCGGCTCAATTACCTAAAATTATTTTATATTTTCAGGTCTGAGAGGGAAAAATTAGAATAAAAATAAGCATAACTTTAAGCATAACCTTTAATAAAACTGGGGTCACTTTAGTATATGGGTGCAGGCTTTAAATTACAAATGTTATACCAATTGAAAGAGCTCGTCGAGCTGAGTCGAATGCCACCAGTTTTAGCCCGAGGAAAGATTTTTGGACCGAGATATAGGTCCCTGAAATTTGAAAAACCATAGGGGGACCAAGCTGATTTTTGGGGTAAAAAATTCAAATATGCAAATTATACCTCATTCGAAAGAGCTCTTCGAGCTGAGTCGAATGACACCAAAATCAACGAAATCCGACTTCATATGGCCGAGTCACAGACACCCGAAATTTGAAAATTTTTGGGGGGCGATTTTTGGAATAAAAAATTTTCCATACAAATATGGTGTGTAACATAATTATAAAGGAACCCATATTTTTGATCATATCTCGAGTTTTTCTTGATGAATTGGGTTGAATTTTATATATGCGATAAAAAACCTTATTTTGGTATAACATGCAAAAAATGAAGCGGTTTTGTCAAAATTTAAATTTTTTATGAATTTTTTTCAAAAATTTTGGTGTAACATAATTATAAAGGAAGTAAAAATAATTTACCTAAATATGGTAGAAAAAATCCACAAAAATTCCAGTGGACATAACTATTGATATCAATGAGAAATACAAAAGAAACGAAGTTCTAATATACTTCCATCATCGAGATCTCGAAACCCGAAAATCAACGGAAAACAGGGGGTAGACGTCTTTAAAAAATATTTTCGACCCCTTACAGGTGAAATAAAATTTTCATTTTGGGCTTATTTGAAAGCCCTTGAAATTTGCTACAAGATAGGTTTCATCTCATAATCCAGAAAAAATTTATCTTTGAGAAATAATGAGTTTAGTTTGTAAATTACATTTTCATCACTTTTTGGGGGGCGTTTGAATGATTTCTTTGACCTGAAAGTTTATCACATTAGGTATTATAGTTGAATTTTTTTCGGAAAATAAAATTAATGCTATCTTGTAGCAAATTTCAAGGGCTTTCAAATAAGCCCAAAATGAAAATTTTATTTCACCTGTAAGAGGTCGAAAATATTTTTTAAAGACGTCTACCCCCTGTTTTCCGTTGATTTTCGGGTTTCGAGATCTCGATGATGGAAGTATATTAGAACTTCGTTTCTTTAGTAATTCTCATTGATATCAATAGTTATGTCCACTGGAATTTTTGTGGATTTTTTCTACCATATTTAGGTAAATTATTTTTACTTCCTTTATAATTATGTTACACCAAAATTTTTGAAAAAAATTCATAAAAAATTTAAATTTTGACAAAACCGCTTCATTTTTTGCATGATATACCAAAATAAGGTTTTTTATCACATATATAAAATTCAACCCAATTCATCAAGAAAAACTCGAGATATGATCAAAAATATGGGTTCCTTTATAATTATGTTACACACCATAATATGTCATTCGAAAGAGCTCGACGAGCTGAGTCGAATGACACTAAAATCACCGTGATTGAACAAGATTAGACAAAGTTATAACAAAAAAACCTAAACCTATGGAGCGTCGGCGAGGCGCTTGTGCAAAACCCCGCGCTTCGCGCGGGGTTTTGCGGCACGCGCCTCGCGGAGAGTCTACGGGCGCTGGGTCTGGGCTCGTAACATAAACCTATTCCTATCTCCCTTGCTCTGGACGTATTTGGGGCCTCCGTAGCAGCAAAAATCTCAACAGATGCCATAGGTAAGGAGCTAAAATAAAAGATCATAACTTTGTCCAATCAAGTCGGATTCCGTTGATTTTGGTGTCATTCGACTCAGCTCGACGAGCTCTTTCGAATGAGGTATAATTTGCATTTTCGAATTTTTCACCCCAAAGAAGTGCTTGGTCCCCCCTATGGTTTTTCGATTTTCAATCGCCTGTATCTTGGTTCAAAAATTTTTCCTCGGGCTAAAACTGGTGGCATTCGACTCAGCTCGACGAGCTCTTTCAAATGATATAACATTTGTAATTTAAAGCCTGCACCCATATACTAAAGTACAGCCATAAAACTTTTTATTGGACTTCAAAAAATAATTACCAGGCTTAATCCTTCAATTTCTTCCTTTCTGCCTTCCAATTTAGTCAAAGCAGTTCGAAATTTTTCGTAAATTGACTTGTAGTGTTGATCCATGACAGCAAAGTCTCCAACCAACTTAAATTTTTAAAAGCAATTAGTGATCTAAAGTCAAAAAATTTACAATATAAACTTGGCGATCCTTTTCCTCAAGTTGCGTCTCCAATTCCACCACCTTTGCCTTATTCTCACTTATTGTTCCAATCATTTCACTAAAAATAAATTTATTATAATGAAGATTTAAAAAACATATGACGCTTCTTAGCTCCGTCTAAGCAATTCGCGAGCTTCCTTTGCTGAGCGGACAATCACCTCCTCGGCATCATCAATATATACTCCCTTCAAAACAATGAAATTTACTCACGTTTTTTCAAATTAAAAATAAACCTTAGTGTTAGTTTTATCATAAAAATTCTCAATGATTCCAATTGTGATTCAGTCTGATTCAGCAAATCAAAAATTTGTTCATTGTAAATCTCTACATAACCAACGCGCACAGTGTAGTCAATATCCTCGCCAAGTACAGAAAAAATTTGCTGAAGAGCTCGCGGAATCATTCCGGCTGTTGAATCAGTGTTCCATGCGAAGTCTTCGGAAGTATCATGACGCCCTTCCATTGTATAGGTCTTTCCACTTCCTGTTTGACCATAAGCAAAAACTGTGCAATTGTAACCATTAATCACGGAATCAATCAGAGGGGCAGAAATACCCTCGTAAACATCCACTTGGGTAGATTCAGTGCCAAAGATCTAAAAAAATATTTGAAATTATTAAAAAAACCAGTTACAAACTTTATCAAACCTAAACCATACAAGTTCCTTTAAATTTTCATTTTAAAAAATTGATTTTAAAAAAATAGACGCACATCCCTAATTCAAGAGAAAAATTTCCGCGACAAAATGAAGCGGTCTTGGACGGTTCAAATCGGCCGATTCAGAGTAGAATTGGGCTTATTTTTTCTTTTAAAGTTGAGCAACCGACATTAGGTCTGTTCTAGTTTTTCCCCTTTTTTTATTTATTTGGCTTATTTTTTTATTTATTTATTTTCTCATTTCTTTATATGTATTGATAACTAATTTTTTTAAATTTTAGCTTTAAACATTCTAATTTACAAAAAATGATTTCTACTCTTAAAAATGTTCAACCAATTGACCAAAACTGCTATTTTGATCGTGAACAGTTTTCTGACACGGAATTGAATAGATTTTTTGACATTGGTATTTTAATAATTTTTAGGCTTCAAAAAATTTCAATGAGATTTTCTTCCATTTTACAGGTCTCGAAAGCGTTTCTCGAGGAAAGTTAGCCGTGATAACACTTGCTGGTGGACAAGCTAGTCGACTTGGATCTTCCCTTCCAAAAGGAATTATTAACCTGGGAACTGGACTTGGGGAAGAAAATGATTCTCTTCTGTTTTTACAAGCTTGTCAAATTAGCTATCTCCAAAAGAAGGCTAAAGGAAGAATTATTTGGTTAATAATGACAAGCAAGTCGACAGATGCAAAAATACGTGAACATTTGGATATTATCTTGAAAAAGACAGATTTGGACTGGAAAAATGTATGAGTTTTTTTAATAGAATTGGAAGGGTGCGTGTCTTGTTTTCTACAATTTTTATAGAAGCTCCTTTTCAAAAAATATTTTTTTTTCGTAGTTTTTGACCAGTATCTACAAATTTTGGGCGTTTTTGATTTCCTCAATTTTTTCCTTGAATGTGAACGTAGCGAGCCGTTATGGCAAAAAAAGCCGAAATGACAAACCCCCAAAAACCGCCAAAATGGCAAACTGGGGAAAGGGCACCGGTTTTCCTTTTTCTTTTCGCAATATGAAAAACAAGTTTATATTTAAATTTTTAGGTAATGGTTTTTATTCAAAATGAAATTTCTGCTCACGATTTTGGTGGTCAATCTCTTTTATCTGCACCTGATCGGCCTGTCACTTCACCAGGTTTTTTAAAAAATTTTTACTACGATTTTAAGAAAAAAAATTTTAGATGGAAATGGCGGTATTTATCAAGCAATTTCGCCAAAGCTTCCAGAACTTGAAGAAATGGGAATTGAATACTTTCATGTTTATTGTGTTGACAATATTCTCTGTCGTGTTCCTGATTTACATATGATTGGCTTTGCTGTTGATAAAAAGGCGGATTGTGTTTTGAAGGTTCTTTGCTTTTTGATAAACTTTGGACACGTATTTATAGTGGTATAGGTTTCGAGGGGATCCGTAGGTTTTCTTGGTATATTTTTTTGGGCCGTGGGCCACAGCAACAAGTTTTAATTTTATATGTAATTCACATTTGTAAAGGCATCCTTTGCCCTTTCAAAGACATTTTTGTCTTTTAATTCAAAAACAAAGGCTTTTTAAATACATTTTCAAAAACAATTTAAGGTAATCGAGAAAAAGGATCCTTCAGAAAAAGTTGGTCATGTCTGCGTTGAAGATGGAAAAATTAAAGTATTAGAATATTCAGAAATCCCAAAAGAACTGGCTGAAAAGCGTGATCCAAAATTTCCGGAGAAATTGTTCTTCCGTGCTGGAAATATTGCCAATCACTTCTTTACTTTCGACTTTCTTAAAAAAGCTTGTTTGGAATTCAATTCTCTGCCTTATCATGAAGCACGCAAACGAATACCTTATTGGGATCTTGTTACTGGAAAGAACGTTCAACCAACTAGTGAGAATGGCATAAAGAAGGAACGTTTTATTTTTGATGCTTTTATTCATTCAAAGTTTGTTTTTAAAAATATTTTTTATTAGAATAGGATTTGGCATTTGCAGGAAGAGAAGGGTTTTTTGTATTCTAGATGAGTTGAATTAATGGGGAAATATGTAAGAGGGTTATAGATTCTGACAGAATAATTGTTTCATAATAAGTTTAATTAAGATGATTTGCAGTATTGGATCTTTTGTTTCCAGAATAACCTGTTTTTTAAAAAAATTCCGATCTATACATAAGATCTCCTGGTGAATTGTCTTGCTAACCTAATTTTTTTATTTTTAGAAATTTTATGGTCTGGCAAGTACCCCGTGAAGAAGAATTCAGTCCATTGAAGAATCCAGACTCTGCAGGTGTTGATTGTCTCTCAACTTGTATTCGTGACTTTACCTCTGTTAATGGAGATGTGATTAGAGAAATGGTTAAAGAATTTTGTAAGAAGGAATGAACAGATTTTAATTAATGGTTGTTTTTTAGTATTTATTTGATTTTTAAATTTCTATTTATTACGGGAATAAGTTGCCAGCTTTTCACTTAGGACTTTCTTTACGTTTTTCACGTTTTTCTACTTAAATGTTGATATTATAGACTATTTATGCGTCACGGCACTTGTGGCTCACTATTGGGGTTAAAAGTTTTTGAACTTATTTTAGTAGGGGAAACGAATAAAATTACAGGTTTTGGTTCCAAATCAGCAATATTAAAATTGAATTGCAAATTTTAATTTTCTTACTTTAATCAGAGTCACAAGTGCTGTGCTATATCTTTTATTGACCTTAAACAAAAGCTTTATTTTCTAAAAAAATTATGGCAAAATAAAATTTTATAAAATTTTATAAAATTTCAAAATAAAATTTTTTTCAAAATCTTTAAAAACTAGTTGGTGGGGGAATTGTACAGTCGTCGCCAACGACAATATTTTTTACTTTATGGATTTAAAAAATTTGTAACAAATTTTAAGGTAATGCTTGTAACAAACATTTAAAAAAAGTTAACAATTCAATTTAAAAATTTTTAAACATTAGTTAAGAATTAAAGTTGGAATAATTTGTACATACCTATAATGCAAATAATTGTAATAATAATTTAGCCGAAGATGTTATTTTCTATCTTTTTCTCGAGGCAATTTAGGATTATTTCTATCCCATCTATCATCATCATACCATAATGAATAATCATTTAACTTGTTATATTGACTTAATTTTGGAAAATATTTAAATTTAATTATATATTTACTTATTTCTTTGAAGATTTTGTTTATCAATATCACCCAAATATTTCGAAAGAATTACTTCATTATTTGATTTCTTTCTAATAATATCCTCTTTTTGATCAGAACTTAAAACAAAATTTTTATAAATTTAATTACTTAAATTTTTTCTAAATAGAGGTTGATTCTGAATTTTATATATTTAATTACAAAGGAAGAGTTAGTATATTATGATTTTATAAAAAAATGTTCATAAATTAAAAACAATAAATACATAATTTAATATCAAATATCAAACTCATAAGAAAAGTTTTATACATATCATCGGTATATTTTACTATATCCTTTGGAGAGAATTGTTCATATTTTCTACTTACCCTTTAACATTTTTATCATCAACCCCCAATTGTTCTTTTAAACGTTTACGTCTACTTTCCCAATCCTTATCATTAACATCTTTTTCTCTACATTTTGGATCACAAGTATCTTTACAACAACAATCCATATACCTTTTAATTTTAATTTAATAAAAATTAAAATATTTACCAAGAATAATCAGGATGGTCACAAATATATTCAAAAACTTTACAGTCTGAACGATAATTTTTGCAAACATCTTTTGAAGGATTATTATTATAATAAATCACTGGATAATAATATTGGGGTTGCGGAACTGTTTTAAATATTAAAAAATTAAAACAAATCTTCAATTTTTGTTAATCTTAATCTGAGAATCATTTATTTATTTATAATTTAATTATTCAAATTCAAAAGAATTTTCTAAACAATAAAAGTAAAGCAGCTGGGCTATAGCTATTTCTCTCCTTTAGCTAGAGCAAAAGGTTATTCGGCGGCTGGGAGCGAACCAGCATCTTCAGTAGACCGGACTGATGTGTTAGCCATTACACCACGCCGCCTACTGCTCAGCCTTAGGAAATTAATAACTATATGCTTTACACCTCCATCCCCAGGGAAGACTGTCCCTAGTCTTCTTATCTGCCCTCTTCCCGCTTTTTTTTCTCACCTGCGGGGTAGCTTAATCATCGCCTTCTCTGGCGGAATTTCCTTTTCTCTAACCCAGGGCCTATGGGATGGATCGTCATACGTTCAGCGTTCGCTGAACCATCCGGTGCTACCAGTAAAGCAGCTGGGCTATAGCTATTTCTCTCCTTTAGCTAGAGCAAAAGGTTATTCGGCGGCTGGGAGCGAACCAGCATCTTCAGTAGACCGGACTGATGTGTTAGCCATTACACCACGCCGCCTACTGCTCAGCCTTAGGAAATTAATAACTATATGCTTTACATAAACTTTAAATTAAAAACCTTTTTCTACTCGAAATATTTACAGAAATTTTATTTACAGTAAATGCTGAAATAATTTAACTCTATCAAATAATTACCCCCGCCCTATTAATTACCCCCTATAGCCAGAGATCGAAGATATAATCAGTCCTCTTAAAACTATTTATAATTAGCCTTCTAAAAAGCTCAAATAATTACTCCCTCCTTTTTAATTACTTTCTCCAGCGGGAGGTGGAAACATTAATTACCCTGGGTAATTATTTTAGCAAATACTTAAATTAAATTACCACTATAATATATCCATTGCCCATAAACTTGTCCAGAATAAAAAAGAAAAAATAAAATTTTTAAAAACATAAAGAATTTATTTAATATTTTAATAATATTTTTTAAAATTAAATATTAATATTGCCTTTCTAAATAATCAAAAATAAATTTTCGAAATTATTATTTTGTTTATTTAAACAGCTTTTAATAATTCTTTTTGTTATTTCTTCATTATTTTTATTTTTTTTCCTTTTTTTTCTGGTGTTGTCTTGTAAAATGTCTAGTAATTAAAATTGAAAAACAAATTTCTTAAAAA